ATAGAGCAAATTTTTTTTTTTTAATTCTCTCTAAATAAAAATATTTAATTTAATATTAACGCAGCATTAGGCTGGCAAAAGATTACTAAATTATTATAATTGTAAAATCAGTAGTAAAAGTCAGATTTAGTCAGACATACATTTAATAATTGTAAAAATCAGTAGTATAAGTCATTATAAGTGAGACAAAGTTTTTTTTATAATTATTACAATTGTAAAAACAGTAGTGCAAGTCAGTATTAGTCAGACAATTTTTTAATTAATAATATTGTGAAATCAGTCAGGTTTAGTAAGACATAGATTTAATAATTGTAAAAATCAGTAGTACAAGTCAGTATTAGTCAGACAAAACTTTATGAATTATTAAAATTTATGTATTAGTACTGTCTATTACTTTTATCGAAAAAAAAATTTTTTTTGTACAAAAATGATTCTACAAAATTCAAAAGAAAATGTTCAGAAATTTTTTCAACTCAATATTCTAAAGGAATGTCAATGCATGATAAGACGCGAGAGACGTATGTCTAAAAAAAATATTCTGAAATTAAAAAAAAAAATTATGTCATAAAAATTAAAAATTATTTTAAATCATTTCTAGTGATTTATTCTTAATATTAGAATAATTTTAAAACCAATTGTACTTTATTATAATTACATCGTTACTATATTATTATCATTTTACAATTAAAATTACTTTCAGTTATATAATTTAACATCTCTTCAGTGTCAAACAAAAGACTTATTTAACAATCAAAAACCATTTTTAGTGCTACAGTGTCGATTATCGTTTTTTCACAAAAAAAAACGACAAGAGGTCGATTCTACTCTAAACAACAGATACTGAAGTATCACACAGAAAAAAAGGGAATGTGACCAAAAGAGTTTGTCACAGAGAAGACTTTCATCCCTTCTTTTTCTTATTCTTTTTTTTTTTTTTTGTTTAAAAAGCCGGTGAAACAACGGCGGGGGTCACATGCCTAACTAGCGCGCGCGGTATTTGAAGATTCTAAAAGAGACGAGAAGCGAATCGACCGGATTAGCTCTCTTTCTCTTTCTCTCCACCTTCATCGCCTCGGTGGATATGTCGCGCTCAATATATTGATCCGAAAAAAAAAAAAAAAAAATTGTGCCGCGATAATAGAAAGCCGTTGTGTCGTCGTGCTGTACTCACTCGAATGGCCACTCTTCAAGGAAGTGCCAGGAGATGGGAGTTTTAAGAGGAAGAACGAGATTCAAGTCAAACAATGCCACACGATCGAGATTTATCATCAACTCAAAGGGTTACTAACTTTGCGCAAAATATATTCAATCATTTTTCTTTTCGTTATTCAAAAAATAAAAAATAAATAAAAATAAATAAAAAATAATTTTTTTCATGCAAAATTTTATTTTCAATGTGAAATATATTGCAATTTTAATTTTTTTAATTTTCGATTTAACGGTACACTGAAAACAAAATTTATTTGATTTAACTAATCGATTACTTTACTATTATCAACAAAATAATTATTTGTTGCAAGTAAATATTTATTTGATAATAGTCAAGTAGAAGATTATTTGAATCAAATAAATTTTTTTTTCAGTGTAACTAACGAAAGCATAATGATATATAATTAATATATATATATATATATATATATATATATATATATATATATATTATACAAGTGTGAGTATACAGTAACAATAACTGACTATGAATCACAAAAATGGAGATAACAATAAGTTCTTTTGTGTTCTGATTCATATTCAAGGAATCTTACAATATCATTACATAATTTACACGTTACATAGAAGTGAAAAAGTGGTGAACAGATACAATTACAACTTCTTTGGTGTCCAAAGGGAAAGAAAATAGATCACCGACGATGAGGGAAAGTCTCATTAATATAAAAAGAAAATTTACTGAATTTTTTTATTTCGAAAATAATTCTTAAAATTTTTATATCAATAGTAAGAGTCAATTTAGTTTAGACAAACCTTTTTTTTAACAGTGGTATAAAACAATTTTCCACTGAAATTTTTTAAAAATAATTATAATTGTTAAATTAGTAGTACAGGGCAATTTCAGTCAGACAGAATTTTTCATAACTATTATAACTGTAAAATCAGTAGTACAAATCAGTTTCAGTCAGACAGAAAAACTTTTTATAGTTATTATGAATGTAAAATCAGTAGTAAAAGTCAGTTTCCGTCAGAAATTACTTTCATAAAAGATTATAATTTTTCTATCAGTAGTAAAATTACCATTCAGCCAGACATTTATTTTTTTATTACAATTATAAAATCAGTAGTAAAAGTTAGTATCAGTCAGGCAAAACTTTACGAAATATTAAAATTGCAGAAAAATTAGTAGTATAAGGCAGTTATAGTCCGGCAAACTTTTTTTTTAAATTATTATAATTGTAGAATCAGTAGTAGAAATCAGTATTTTGTCAGACAAATGTTTTAAAATCAGTGTCAATGTAAAATCAGTAGCACAAGTCAATTTCAATCAGACATATATCTTTTTTCATATCTATAATTCTAAAATTAGTAGTACAAGTTAGTTTCAATCAGAATAAAATTTTTTTTTAATTATTATAATTGTTAAAATCAGTAGTACAAGTTAGCTTTAGTCAGACAAAACTTTTTCGAATTATAATTTTTTAAGTGATACAAGTCAGTTATAGTTAGGCAATCATTTCTTATTTATTATAATTTTTCTGTCAGTAGTATAAGTCAATTTCGTCAGATAAAATTTTATGGAAATTTATAATTTTAGTTTTAGTAGAAAAATTTTGTTTCAATCAGACTACCTTTTTTTTAGTTGTACAAATTAATTTTAATCATAAACTTTTTTTTTTTTTGATTTATAATAATTTAAAAAAAGTCAGTTTTAGTCAGACAGATAACTTTATAGGGATTTATTAATTGCTATCTTGCTATCATCAATTTTTTGTGCTGCATTTGTTCACGGCCAAATGTATGTTTAGAGCAAATTTTTTTTTTTAAATTCTCTCTAAATAAAAAATATTTGATTTAATATTAACAGCATAAGGCTGGCAAAAGATTACTAAATTATTTCAATTGTAAAATCAGTAGTACAAGTCAGATTTTGTCAGACCTAGATTTAATAATTTTTAAGTCAGTAGTCTAAGTTTATTTTAGTCAGACGAGTATTTTTTAAATTATTATAATTATAGAATTAGTCCCACGTGAAAAGATTACCGGTAAACTCCGCGAAGTAGCTCCGCGGAATTTCGGCAGAGCAGCTCCGCGGATTTTCCGCGAAATTTCCGCAAATTTTTTTTTTTGCATAATAATATATTTATGTTATTATTTAAAATAATATAAAATTAAATTGTGTATATTCTACTTAAAATTACTTTTTAATTTTTAGTTAACAAGTGAGAGAAGACTTTGACACTAATTTTGTTAACAAAAAATTGAAAACTTTAAAAATAGGTTCACGGTTATAGCCGGTAAAGATGTATGTATTTTTCTTTTCTACTTAAAAAAGTAATCCCAAAATTAATATCAGATTATTGCATTAAAGAGAGTTAAATATATAATAGATTAAATAGTTTTTTACTTGTATTTATCCTTTTTATAAGACAATAATAAAATTCATTTCATATAAAAATTTTATTAATAAAAAAATAAAAATGCATTTGCCATATGATACTGATTTCTATTTATTTAATAAAATTTATTTCACTCATTATATATTTTAATTTTTAGTAGGGTTAAATTAGGTTACAATTAAAACTTTCAGAAAATAACTTTATAATCTAAATACAGGTTATAAGCTCTTAAAAAGGTTTGGAAAAAGAAATGATTTCCCGGTCGTTACCGTTACTTATTGATGGCTTCGTAATATGAAAATTTTATACGACATGTTTAACTTCCCCAAAAAATTGTATTCTTGCTGCTGCCTAGTTCTTGAGTGACATCGATTTGTTATTCTTCTAATGCTTCGTATTTTTATCATGTCTTGAAATGTTAAAATCCTTAAAAAATCCTTACCGATTGTAACCACCTAATTATCCTAAAGGTTATCAATATTTTTTTTTCAAAAAATTGACGTGTCTAACAGTAAATCTTGTCTCAGTTGTTAACTAAAGTATAAAACGTAATTTAAATAGAATGTATTGAATTTAATATTATATTACTTTAAATAATAACATAAATATATTATTATGCAAAAAAAAAATTTGCGGAAATTTCGCGGAAAATCCGCGGAGCTGCTCTGCCGAAATTCCGCGGAGCTACTTCGCGGAGTTTACCGGTAATCTTTTCACGTGGGGTACTACAAGTCAGTATATCAGTCAGACAAAACTTTTTTAAAATTTTAATAATTGTAAAATCAGTAGTATAAGTCAGACATAAATATATACAATAAAAATTTATACAGTTTTAGTAGAAAAATTACATTTCAGTTAGACATAACTCAAATGAATTATTATTTTCTGACAAAAAATGTTTTATTTTTCTATAATTTCGAAACACTACTAATAATTAAAATTTTTTATTTTAAATTGTATTAAACTCGCACGTGCCGTTTTTCCAATAGAGAATAGACTCTCTAAAGAGTCCGTAACATCAACGCCAGTGCAAACACGATTTACAATACATTGGTGTGCGGAACCAAAGAAAGAGAATAGAAAGAAGAAAAAAAGTGACAATAAAGTGAAAGAAGACGCAAAGTCTCGAGAGTTACCGCATTGGGGTAAATTTAGTCGAAGGGGTAAATATGTGAAGTATGCGAAAAAAAAAGAAGGGGGGTTGGACAGGTATTGAGAGCCAGTGACGAAATTCACCAGGGATTATAATAGCCACTATAACAGAATTCGTATACTACATATATATATATAACAAGTCTTATACAATTCTACTTTTAACCCTTCCATCGTGTGTCATCTTCCCCCCACTCCTTCGTTAAAAACTACCGATCACGTCACATCTGTTACAACCCCCCTTTTCTTATTTGAAAGAGTGGGGAGAGTAATACTGCCTACTGTGTAGGTACATACCAACACGGATCCCTCTTTCTCTATCTCATCCTCTTTTGCACTTTACTCTTTCCACCTCTATCACACCCCCCCCTGAAATTTTGCACAGTTTGCAAAATCACAGCCACAAGAAAGTCAGTCAGTAAGTCAGTGAGTCAGTTGGTGGGTTGTTAATAAAAATAAAAAGAAAAAAAAAAAAATTTTTTTCGAAATTGGTTCCTCTTTTAATAAAAAGTGACACCGTCGGTGGTGCCTGCTACCGGTTAAATATTGAGTCCTTCCGGTTATATTGTCAGTGTTTAAAATGCATTGAAGAAAAATCTAACAATGGAGGAGTCACGGGAAATAGGAGGCATGCCTTCCGCTTCCGTTTCTTCAATACTTCTTCTACTTCTTGTTACCACCACGGATGCCCAGTAAGTCTGGAGACGAAAAAATTTTCACCTATTTTTGATTTTCTTTTTTATTTACTTTTTTTTACCTATTTTAATTTCCACGTTTTTATTTCTTACAATTTTTTTTATATCTATTTTGACTTTATTTTTATTTCTTACAATTTTTTTGACCTATTTTGACTTCTGTGTTTTTTTTTTCATTCTTACAATTTTTATTTTTTCGACCTATTTTTGACTTTTCTGTTTTTTTTATTGATTACAGTGTATTTTTCAACCTTTTTTTTTTAAACTTTTGTTCCTTTATTTCTTAAAATATTTATTATTTTCATAATTTTAATTATAAAAAATTCTCACTTGGTCGAAAAATAATAATTGATAATAATTAAGTTGATTGCAACTATATATACATAATTAATTAAAATCAATTTTAATTAAAATCATATTATACTGTCTATATACTAGTATAACTGAAATATACTATTTTTTCATTTTAAATATGTACTAATGAATTTTATTTTAATTAATGAACATATTGAATTTGTAGAATTAGGCGTCGAATGAGATCAAGTAGTGCCATGTTGTAAAAAGTGCAAATTATGAACTTTCTTTTTAATAATCAATAACTTCCACTGCACTTTTTTTTTTGTAAAAAAAAAACCTTATATTTACATAAGGTTTCAATTTAAAAGTGAATTATTTAATTCAAATAATCGGTTAATTAACTATTATCAAAAAAAAAAAAAATATTTATTTAAACAAATTAATTTTTATTTCAACCAAACAATTTTTATTTCAAACAATAAAATTATATTTAATACAAATAATTTTTAATTGAACCAAATAAATTTTATTTGTACAAAATAATTTTTAATTGAACCAAATAAATTTTATTTGTACAAAATAATTATTAATTGAAACAATTAATTTTTATTTAAACCAAATTTTTCATAAAAATATATACCGAATTGGACTTGCGATTTGAACTGACATTGGTAACCAATCATGGGCCAAGGACAAAAACTTAAATCTAAGCTTCTACTTTACACTTGAACTCAAAAAAAAAAAAAAAAAAAAAGAGAAAAGAACAGACCTTGATTGAAGAAAGTGAAATAAGTTTTGTCACAATGAACGAATCAAAAGTTTCAAGTATGATGTCCCTCAAAAAAGAAAAATATATTCTTCTGCTATTAAAGAGAAGTGAAAATAAACGAAAATTCTTTCTATATATATATATATATATAACGTGATAGAAAACTCAAATTGCAAATAATTTGTTGAGATATAAAATAATCAATTTTTTTAAGCTGAAAAAATTAAGAATAATAAATAATAATTTATAATAAATTAATTAATTAATAATTTATAATAAATTAATTAATTAATAATTTACAATAATTAATTAATAAATAATGTATTAAAATTTATTAGGAGAAGTTTAGAGTTTTATGACCTGCTACCAGAGGATCCAAAACTTTATGATAAGATGAGACCACCAAAACAAGGTGGACAAGCAACTGCTGTTTATTTTCATGTAACTGTCATGGGTCTCGATTCAATCGATGAAACTTCGATGGTAGGATTTAATTATTATTTTAATTGTTTAATTTAATTTTCAAGAAAGTTGAATTTAAATTAATCTGTACTACTGACAAAAAATGTTTGTCTGACTGCAATAACATTTTTCTACTGAAACTAAAATTATAATAATTCAAAAAAAAAGTTGTTCGTACTACTGATTCAACAAATTTTCAATAATTCAGAAAAATCTTTGTCGTAACTGAAACTGACTTATACTACTGATAGAAAAATTATAATAAATAAAAAATAATTGTCTGACTAAAACTGACTTGTACCACTGAAAAAATTAAAATTCCAAAAAGTATTGTCTGACAAAAATTGATTTGTACTACTGTCATATAAATAACTATTTAAAATTATTGTCTGACTAAAACTATTTTTTTACTACTGATACCTTGAATTTTTTTTAATTTATAACTCACAGTCTGACTAAAGTTAAACATTCTCTACTTATAAAAAAAAAAATTACAACAAATTTTTGAGAGATTATTTAACCCTTTTTTCTCTATAAATAAAATTTTTTTTTTTATAACTATATACATATAATAATAAAATGAAAAACTTACAGACTTATGCTGCGGACATTTTTTTCGCTCAAACTTGGAAGGACAATAGGCTGCGGCTTCCTGAAAACATGACGTCCGAATATAGGTGTGTTAATAATAAAAAATAATTAAATAAACAAATTTTAAAAAAAATTATTAATTAGAATAAAATTAAAAAAAAAAAAACATTCGTAAAATTTAGTTTTTTTTTCAAATTCTTGTTTAAATTAATTTTGGTTGTTCTTTTTTTTTTCTAATCAAGATTATTAGAAGTCGATTGGCTGAAGAATATGTGGCGACCGGATTCATTTTTCAAGAATGCGAAATCCGTCACTTTTCAAACAATGACGATTCCAAATCACTACTTGTGGCTTTATAAGGATAAAACAATTCTTTACATGGTGAAGTATGTAAAACGAATAACATAAATAAATTATATTTAATTTTTATAATAATAAAATAAAACATAATTAATTTCTATTAATTATTATTAATGATTAATTAATTATTATTAATGATTAATTAATTATAATTATTAATAATTAATTACTAATTATTTATTATTAAAATTAATTAAATTTTCTAAAACTTCTTTCTATTTTCTCCATTTTGATTAAATTTTAAATAATTGTTTCTTTAAATCAGAAATAAATTTATTATTTGCAAAAAAAAATTTTTTTTTTAACGTAAGTTGAAAATTTCTTTTAGACTGACATTAAGGCTGTCTTGTGCTATGAATTTTCTTATATATCCACACGACACGCAAGAATGTAAACTGCAAATGGAGAGCTGTAAGTTTTTTTTTCAAATAACACACATCTGTTTATTTATAATAATTCTATTTATTTACTTTGTTTTATTTATTTGTATATTGTTAATAGTGTTAATTGTATATAATTATTTAAAATTCATTAAAATATAAATATTCAATAATATTCACCAAATAGAAAATATTTCTGTATTTTTTTTTTTTTTTTGTGGGACGAAAATCTATAAATATAATCAATATTAAATTATATTCAAAAAGTAGATTTTGCACTCTCTAATATCATTATAGAGGTCTTTCATTGAATTCATTGAAAGAGAAAGAGACGTCTTTAAATTAAAGCGCTCATTAAAAAAATTTAACTCCCTTGGTAAAAATTATACTATTTGAAAAGAAAAATTTTTCATTTTATAATAAGACAAAGTAATCTCGGTCGACAGTATCGCATACGACGGATGAGATGATTTTCCAGTGGGATCCCGACGTACCCCTTGTTGTCGACGAAAACATTGAATTACCCCAGTTACAACTTGTTAAGAATTATACGGCCGACTGCACGCAGGTCTATTCTACTGGTAAGTGTCTCTTATCAAAAAAAAAAAAAAAACAAAATTAATTACTTAAAAATTTATTTCCACATTATAAGAAAACCATAAAAAAAAATTTTTCTTTTATTTTCTTTCTTTTGACTATAATTCTTTTTGTTCATTTTTTTTTTTTTTTCTAAAAACGACAAAATATAAAAAATTATGTTAATTGACAAAAAAAAAAAAACTTTGGTTTTGCTTTTACGAGAAATAAAATTAATAAATATTAATTTCTTTTTTCTTTAGGAAATTTCACTTGTTTAGAGGTAATTTTCGTCCTGAAACGTCGATTGGGATATTATCTATTTCACACATATGTCCCAACGTGTTTAATTGTAATTATGTCGGTAAGTCTATACAATATATTTAATTTAAAATAATTTATCAAAATAATTATTAAATATTTTATTGAGAATTTTAAAATAATTTATAAAATAATTTTAAATAATTGTACATTTTTTTTAAATAATTCATAAAAATAATTTTATAAAAATAATTAAAAATAACTCTTGATAATTTAAAATATATAAAATAATTTTAAATAATTATTGAGAATTTAAAATAATTTATACAATAATTGTAGATTATTTTAAATAATTTTAATTGTTTCAGATAATTTTAAATAATTTTTGATAATTTTAAATAATTTATAAAAATCATTTTAGATCATTTTAAAAAATTTTAAACAATTTTAAATAATTTTAACTAATTTTAATATTATATAGTATTAAAATTATTTTTCAACGTTAAGAATTAGAATTGACTTTTTTTTTGTTGGAAAATTGAAATTAAATAGAGAAAAAAGAAAAAAATATTTCTGACTTTAGTGGGTGTCTTTTTGGATAAAACCGGAAGCAGCGCCAGCGAGAGTGACACTTGGAGTGACTTCATTGCTGACACTTTCGACTCAGCATGCAAAAAGTCAAGCATCACTACCGCCAGTATCATATTTAAAGGCTGTCGATGCATTTATGTCAGTCTGCACAATATTTGTATTCATGGCCTTAATGGAATATTGTCTAGTGAATATTGTACTTGGTGATCACGATATGCCACCCCCAAAACCAAAACCAGCCCCACCGCCACAACCTCCAGCATCATCATCCGGTCCAGATTCCACTAAATTGGACAAAATCTTCGATATCGCCAGCAAGGTAATGCCTGGCTGAACAGTCTCAATCTTTTTTTTTTTTTCTGTGCCTCGAAAAAAAAACAACATCAAATATTAATTAAAATAAAATATAAATTATTAGTATAAAAATATTTAAAGTATCAAAATTAAAAAAAAAAAAAAAAAAAAAAAAAAAAGCAATTAATATTTTCGAGGCACAGAATAAAAATATTTATAATTTGATTGATGATTGTGATTGGTTGTCACACAGGAGAATGCAATGTTACTATCGGGTCGATCACAGAAATCGACAACGGGTCCACCACCTGGTCTAACACCGGCCCAAAGAGGAAAAATGCGCGCCCTCAGTATAGATCGATTTTCAAGAGTATTCTTTCCATTTTTATTCACATTACTCAACGTCTCGTATTGGATTATGTTTGCCGAGTATATTTAAAAAAAAAAAAAAAAAATACCAATTTTCCACGAAAAATAAAATAAAAAATTTTGAAAAAGAAAAGGGCCTAAGGGGAATGAGCAGAATTAAAAGAAAAGAAAAAACTTCAGAACGAAGAAAAGAAGAAAAAATGGTGAAAAATAGATAAAGAAAAAATTAGAAATACAAAAGAAGAAAAATCTGAAAAAAGAATAAAATAAATAAATAAAGAGAAAAAAGACAAATGGAGAGAAATAAACGTAAAAAGAAATTATTTGAAAAAAAAAATTAATAAACGGTAAGCAGTCAATTTCTCTAGCCCGAAAATTATCATTAAGAGCATTCTATATTATACAGTAATCTCTCGATAGGAATTATCTATTTAAATTATTTTACAATTTTAAATTTAAAAGATAAAATTTTCTTTTATATTAAAATTGAAAAAGTACACTGAACATACGATAAGTGTTTCATGTATTCAATTATCGAGTATCTACCGTCTTTTCAAATTTTTACCATCACTTATCGAGAGTTCACTGTATTAAGAATTTCTTTCTCCAAATAATAAACTTGCAATTTTTAAGACTTTTTTAAAGAAAAAAAAACTATATAGCACATCGCATCTTACACAATAGAATTATTGTCATTATCATTAAGATTTAAACATTTTCAAAAAAAAAAAAAAAAATTTTAAATTAAAAATTTATTTAAAAAAATTTTCTTGCATGTTCAATTTTAATGTCACTTAATTATTTATCTAAATACTAATTCAATAACTAATTGGCTTTTTCATTACTTATTTATAATTAGTTAATTATTTAATTTTTTAGTTAATTAATGAATAGTTGTCGAATTTATTGTTTCTTAAATTTATTTATTTAAAAAAAAAGTTTGGATCATCGTGAAAATTTTACTTTCTAAAATATTTCAACCTGGGACACAGTAATGTCCCACATATGCCCTTAAAAAAAAAAAAAATTGCTTATAAAGGAAACCGTCTCTTACAAATAATGAATTGTTGCAAATTTTGCGACATTTTTTTTTTTTTAGATTGATGTTTAATAAAAAATACCACATGATCATGAAATATAAATTATATCTCTACGACTCAAGATTCTGAATTTAGAATTAAAAATACAACGAAAAAAATTAAAAGCCATAATGTAATTTAATATTCATAACAGTAGTGAATATCTAAAAATATTTGAAGCGCTTATTCTGAGATTAAAAATTTTTATTCCCTTCTAATATAGTAAATTTCCCAAATTTTTACAATAAAACTTTAAAAAATTCTAGTGATAATTGTAATTAATTTAAAAAATTTGTTCTAGTTAATTTTTCTTTTTTTTTTTTTTAAATAAAATTAATCAAATTCTTTTCAATCGTGTGGTATAATCGTCTCTAAATTTAGGGGGAAAAACTCAATTTTTTCAAGAGATATTACAAAAAAAAAAATGAAAAAACTGCGAAATATAAAAGAAAAAAAAATGTAAATTAGTCAAACAGTCATACACAAACATATTTGTAGAAAACTCGAAGGTTTAAAAAAAAAAGTTATATGTATATTATAATTCGGAAAGCGTGTATATTATAAATAATTATAAATTATAAATATTTATTAAATCTCATAAATATAATATTATGAGATTTGCAAACACTACATTATTATTATGCTTGAATAAATATTATTAAATAACTAAAAAAGATATATATTATTTTCAAGAAACAATATTAAAAATAAAATTTGTTTCTTTAATAAAAATAAAGAAAAAAAAAAATTTCTCAATTATTAAAGCGCTCTTTTATTTTCAAATAAAAACGATAATCGATATCAAATTTCGACTTTGTATATTACAAATTATTATAATATTAAAGAAAATAATGCTGATATCACATATTATAATTAAGAAAAAAATGTTCAAAATCAAAAGAATAATGTTGTATGTAATTTATTCATAATATAAAAAATTTTAAAACTGTATTATTCAATTATTTATTTATAGAAGGCGTAAAAATATCTATTTTTAGTAAAGTAGTTAAAAAATAAAAAAGCAAATAATTTAAATAATAGATTGAATTTGAAACTTTTTAATTTAATTTTTTTTTTTATAAATAATTAGAAAATATGATTTATAATATAAATTTAGACTCTGACAAGTGGTGAACTCTAGTGATGAAATTTTGTATAAATCTTCTTCCTCTATCGGTATTTCAAAAATATTTATTATAATTCAAAATTTAAAATTGACAATTTACAAAAATTATTTAATAATAATACACTGAATTTGTTTTTCCGTTTTTTATAAAAAAAAATATGTTAATTTTTTAAAATATAATTTTTCAATAGGTATATATAATCACTTTTCTCAGTTGCAATTAGATTTTGAATATTTATATTAAAATAAATAAATATATTTTAATATTAAAAAAAAAAAATTATTCCATATTTTTCGTTTATCATAAAAATTGTTTATTTAATTTAATAGTTAATTAAATTAATTTTGTAAAAAAATTAGTTTAAACATTATTTCTCCTCGATATTGAAAAGATTATTTTGTAATTGAAAAAGATGTAAGAGTTCGAAGAAAATGTATAATATATGGAAAAAAGAAGGCAATGGCATTTTCTTATCAGAACCGGGGTTACTCAGAGATAATAAACCCACGCATCTCTTCCTTCCTTTTTGACATCAACGATTTTACATTTCGATGTCACTCTTTTTGCTCTCAAATCATTTTCATTATTTTCTTTCAATTAACCCAGATTCCTTTTTTTTTATATTACCCATATAAATAATTCGTTTTCTCTTTCAAAAATAATTTTCTCTTTTTTTTATCTAATTTTAAATTATTATTTTTAAATCCTATTTTTTAAATTTAATTTTAAATTATAATTTTCTAATCTAATTTAAATTATTATTTAATATAATTAAAAAATTAATTACTTTTATTTTTCATGTTATAGTCAATTTTGAATTTAAAAAAAAAAAAATTATTAAATTCAAAATAAAACAAAATGATTGTAATTTATTTAAAATAAAGTAATTTTTGGTTTAAATCAGCATTTAACTAGATTCAGAGGTGACTAAATAGACTATTAACTCAACATAAGTTAAAAGGCTCATTTTGAGATTGAATGAAGATAAACGACTAACTTGCATACAATGTATTTAACCCCCATTGATTTTATCGATTCATATAATTGACATAAATCATATTTCCAATCAAAGAATGGTATAAAGTACTTCAACATTTTAAAGAAAAAAACAAGAATTTCTTAAATATTTTAACAAAATTTTTTTTTAAATCAAATAAATTATCAACCCGTGTGGAAAAGTGATGTGGGCCCCCAGCGGGGGCCCTTATGGATCGCCCTCATGCCATGAGGGCCGCATATGGATGATCCATAGGGGCCCCTCATGGAAACGACATGCTCATCGATGAGGGCGCCCGCATGGGCGATCCATGAGGGTGCCCCTACGGGCGCCCTTATGGGCCCTCACGTTTGCCCTCATCTTGCCCTCAAGTTTGCCATAATGTTTTTTAATCAATAACATTAATAATAAAAGTTAATTAATAATAAATAAGCTTAAGTTATGAATAAATAACATATTTATTTAATAATTATTCAATTTTAAATTAAATTCTTACTCAAATTGAATTTATTAATTAACGTTCTAATTAATTAACTGTCGGATATAATTAAAAGTAATAATAAATTAATTAATTAAAAAATTAAAAAATATGTAATTTATGCATACTATTAACGGATATTTTCATTTTTCAATTAATTCATACATAGAATTAATGATTAAACGCAAACCTGAGAAATAAATAAATCTAACGCATGGGGGGAATCGAACCTACGACCTACGGACTATGAGTCTAACGCTTTACCAACTACGCTACGCACGCTACTTCAAAACGAATGCTAACTTCTTGATGCTATTTAAACTTGAAAAATACCTAACAAAGAAAAGTGCTTAACATCATTTAGTTAAAGTTAAGATATTAAATTATATTTTCCAATCAAATGCAATTTATAAAATATAATTAATTATATGCTTTATGATTATTATCATGAATCATCTCAGGTGAATTTTCAAAAAAAGTGTAAATATATTTTTATTAAAAACGCGTTTTTCGTTGTTCTGAATCATTGGAAACATTCATTTTTTGGTGATAAAAAAATATTTGATTTTTGGACTTAGAAAATTTTGCTAATCGATCATGAGGGCGATCCATGCGGGGCCCCTACGGTGCCCCTCATGGATTCGCCATATGGATCAGCCCTCATGGGCCCCCGCCGGGGGCCCCGAACTCTTGAGGGCAAGATCGTGGCTTTTTCCACACGGGAATTTATAACTCTTTTAATATTTATGTAAAATAATTATTATCTCTTAATTAACTAATTAATTAAATATCACTTAAGAATAATTTATTATCAAAAATTAATAAATTAAAAAAAAATTAAAATAAATAATTTATATAAAACAATTTAAATTAACATAATAATAATAATAATAATAATAATAATAATTAAACGCCGTATAAATATCATAAATTTAAAATTTATGAAAAACTTGAAAAATTTTAATTTTCCGTAAGTTTTGAAAAAAGTATAGATAAACTAAAAGGAATAAACAGATTGAGAAAAACCAGAGAATTACAAGTGTGCAACACGTGTAAACTAAGGCCATACCTCCTTTACTATATTATATATATATATTGTATATATATATATATATATATACCGTGTGTCAATTTTTATCCCAAAGAAAATTTCCCAATAACGACAAAAAAACACTAATATTATTATTATTATTACTATATTTTGAAAAATTGAAAAATTGTTAAATTTTTTTTTTTTGTAAAATAAAATTTAATATTTATTTTAATAGAAAATAAATAGCGAAAATTTTAATTCAATGAAATTGAATTTTTTCTGAAAAATCTTTTTTCTAATTACTTTACACAGTGTAGATTAATGACAGAAGCTTCATAGTATATATATATTCATGTTTAAAACCATTAAAGATTCTCTTTATATGGAATGCAAGTTTCGCCATTATTATTTTATGACATTTTCAAAGTGGCAACGACCCGACTATAATATTTTTTTTTTAAATCTACTTATTATTAAATTATTTATTATTATTAAAAATGCAATGAATTATTTTTAATCAATTAATCAGAGTAGTAATATTAATAAATAAATAATTATAATTTTATATTATAAATAATATAAATAAAATATATATAATATTATCAATTAATTATATAATTAAAAAAAAATTATAATAATGCCAAAAGTATTGTATATGCATAAAAAAAAACTGTTAAATGTTATATTTTCTTCGTGATATTGGTAAAAAAATTTTGCTGATAGGAGATTTTAATTGTCATAAACAAAAATTACGTTAATTTAACGAGAGTATGAGTAAAGATTTGGACCATCAGTGTAAATGATTTCTTTTCATTAAAACCAGGACACAAGATAATAATATCTTTATAGTGCACTAAATAAAAAATCTCACAAATATACTTTTTAATTTTTGGAAATATTATTTTTGCTTATATTTAATTTTCAATACTTTTATTTATTATTAAATTAAAATAATTTTTTCCTATTATTTATTTGTAAGTAAATTAATTTTATGTATATAAAACATATATGTTTGATAATTTTCCTTTTATGATTGCTGCGATGAATCCTGTGCAGGATTTAGAGATCTTTGAAATATAAGGACTTTTGTGAATGAATACTATATAAAATGATTTTGATTGCTTCCATTCAAATCGTATGAAAAGGGAACAATTTAGCTCAAATTATCCTAAGGGATTACATATATTAGGAATTTAGTGACAAGAATTTCTGATGTTCATAAAAATTTTATTTTTATTCAATTTTGATAATTTATAATTTATAATTTTATAATAAATATAAAATTAAATTTTTTTTTTAAATGAAAAATTTATTTAGCCTATTTTTCAATAAAATAATAAATAAAATAAATATTTATTTATTAATTAAGCTTCAGACTTTCGGCCCAGAAGTATAAAATTAAAAATAATAAATAAAATAAATAATAATGTTAGAAATATTAGTAATAATTTTCTAAAAATAAGAAAAGAAAAATGAATTCTTTTCTATAAATGTTTAAAACGAATTCATTAAGAATATATTTGTACTATATGAAACAACCGGAAATTTAACGATAAAGCATAAGTTTACAAGGTAAAATGTAACCCTTCTAAATAATAATGCTCCTTATACCGACCAGAGTCATTTTCACCCACGCAATCTCAGTAATTCGTATTATTAAAGCCAATTAGAAAATTTTGCTGTCAAACATTTCAATCTCTCAAGATGTAAAAAATCTTTTTTAGGAGCTGAAAAATGACTGTAATAACTGTTTTGCCTTTAATTTTATTATCGCAATACCTATAAACACTTACGGTAAATAATATACATTTCGTAATATTAAATTTTAAAAGATTCGAAAACTTAATTTCAATATTACTAAATAATAATTATTATTTTATTATTATTGTTTATTATTATTATATTCTTTATTATTAATTAAATTAAAAAATTAATAACAATTTTTAAAATGAATTAACTTTTTTTTGAAATTTTTAAAAAAATTCTCGACTATAGAATATTGTTTATAATTTTGAAATATTTAAATCCATTTTTCTAAAATCTCTTTTTATGAAAGGCCTTCTTCAAAATGAATATTTACCGTCTACGTCTCGAATCACCAACAAGTCCGTTGCTATTAATAGAAAAACTAAAAGTAGCCCCACTTTTCCTTACTTCTTTATAGTCAAATTATTTTTCAGAGAAAATAATGCCGTAATTTTGTGTATATCTTTTTTAAAAAAAAATTCTAATTAATTATTATTTTACTTTAAATTCAAATAATACCACAAATTAACGATATCTATATAAATTAATGATATAATTTCAAATCCAATTAAATCGTAATTCAACTAATAATTATTATTATAAATCAAATATAAATTAGTTTACTATATTATCAAATAAATATTTAAAATAATTTTTGAAATCAATTAATTGAATTAAATAAACTGTATATATTTGAAAAAAATAATTTCTGTATATTTGAAACAAATACCACTCAAGAAAAAAATGAATATATTTATTTGATATAATAAGTAATCCGATTATTTGAATTAAATTTTTTCTCAATTCTGTTAATGATTAACCGAATTCAAAAATACAATTTGTACTTCAATGATACTTTGAATTAATTAATTAACGGTGTCAAAATTAAGAAAAAATTTTCAAATATTCAAAATAAAAAATTTTTCTGTTTTTCCGATATGGTTTTTTTAAAAAAAAAAAAACGCACACAGCATCCGGAGTAGAGCATGTACTCGAGTGCAATCTTTACCAGCAGTCACAAACACATAGGCAAGTTGCCGTCCTGAGATTTAATCCCTCCCACCAATTCCCGGTCCCCTGAACCCCCGCATTCGCTCGCCGACAGTGCCGAGTGCTACAGACTCTCTTGAGTACACATAGAACCGTCGTTTTTTAACTCACAAACGAGAGACGCGTCAGCGTCTAGCTGGAATATTTCAAAAAAAAAAAAATCATCTTGGTGTTTTTTTTTTATTTTATTTTAGTGTAAGAATTTTTATTTAAAAAAAAAAAATTTTTTTTCTCAAATCATTTCTCAATTTTTGAAAACGAAAATTTTATTGTGTGTCTAAAAGAAGAGAGAAAGAGAGGTGCGCTGGACCAACAGTGGGGCCCGTTCGACTATAAGATCGGACCCAACAACACCAGGTACATACCAACTGCCCGAATAGGTATAAGCAGAACACGCTTTATAGGTACCCTGTAAGAGGTATATAAAAGAGAAAAAAAGAGAGAGAGAGAGAGAGAGAGAGAAAAGAAAACGAGTGCGAGAGAATTGGAGAGAAAGAAACTAACCGCGAGAAAGAGAAAGAACGACAGAAAAGAGAGAGGGAGGAAGAGAGAGAGAGAAATTATGAGACATACTCTCTTGGTATTACAGTCTTTGAAAGTAAACCTGTAAGGCTTTTCTGTCAGGCAAAAACCTCGTGTATACATAAGAGTGACATTTCATGAAAAACTTGATGAAATTTTAGGTGTAATTTTTCACGTTCTTTTTTTTTTTTGAAAAATGTTTATTTAAAAACAACACATGTTGGGTGATTTTTCAGTTCAGTGAACGTGATATTACAATATTGTGTTTCCTGTGAGGAAAAAAAAGAAATATTCGATTGCAATGCAATTCTATGCAGAGACATATTTTGTACGCGAATGAGTGCTTCGTTTATTCTTTTTTTTTTCCAACTAAACAATTTTTTTTTTCCTTTTTACAATAATAATTTTACATTGGGGAAAATGGGACACAAAACAATGAGAAAAAATTTACTTCTTTTTTTGTGGTGTATAAATTCAATTTTTTAATTGTTCAATTGTTATTATTAAAATAGTTATTATTAATATTAGTAGTAGTATTATTTTTATTATTGTTATATTATTAACTTTAAAAAAGTACTTTCAATAGAATTTATATGAAATTATAAAAAAAAATTTGTTTAAGAAAATTCCATTTGTTACTAATTAATAAATTTAAAAAAAAAAATATTTTATATAGAAAAACAAATTAAAAAAGTAACGAAAATTTTGTGAATATATATGAAGAAAGGATTTTCTTTTTTGTATTTTTAAAGATTATTTTTATTGATTTTTTTTTTTTATATCGATCATTCCAAAAAATATTAACTCAAAAAACAATAACTGATATACTATATAGTAAATATTTTTGGGAAAATCTAAATATATTTGAAAAAAAAGAGAAAAAAAAAATTAAAAATTTCACAAATATTGCATTTTATAATTATTAAATTGAATTATTATTATTGAAATAGATAAATGAAGATGACGTGGTAGCCATTTTCCAGTGGAACTAAAACCCGCAGAACTCGGAACCAGTTCACAATGGTTGGAGTTCGAAACTACTTTTTAATAGGAAATCTTATTTTCCTCTTCACTATTTTTGGCCCAGGTAAATAATTTAAATATTAAAACTAATCCAATTAATTAATTTAACACTATAATACTAACAAAGTTTACAATTATATAAAATGAAAAAAAAAAATTTATTTGATTCAAATAATCGGTTAATTATATTATCAAATAAATTAAATTGTATTTGTCCCGAATACAAAAATAATTGGTTCAAATACAGTACAATTATTTGATTAAAGTAAATATTTATTTTATAATAGTCAGTGTACTAAAACTTTTTGTTTTGATAAACTTTTTTTTTCTAAATTAAATTTTCGATAATTTAAATTTTTTTCGATAATATTAATTAAAATTTAAAAAAAAAAAGAAATCAATTCTATTGTTTTTTTTCTATGAATAAAATTTTTCCCACGATAGCGTTAATAGCAATTTTAACAAATATCCCGGATTCTTTGATTCAACATACATATATAAGAGAAATACATTACGACATGGAAATTATCATATCATGTTGGGTCACTCGAAACTTCTTAAATGATAATAATTATACCTACTATTAGTTCTCAATGAAGAAAATTTAATTTAAAAAAAAAAAAAAAATAGAAAAATAAAATTTCAATTTCAAATAAAAGAAATATTTAAAAATTTAATTATAAAAATTTATTAATACTCTAAATAAAAATTTGTTAATAAAAATTATTTTCATAAATTACGTAAGAATTCATAATCAAATAATTGTAGGGCGAGAAATAAACGAATATAGTCCACATTTTATTATACTCTTCCCTAACGACGACAAGAAGTGCCTCTTTTTATCCAAAACTGATTAGATATTTCAAATGACCTTCTCGACCCCATCTTCCGTCGACGAGATCGAGATCCCAAAAAAATTCGAAACTCCCGAAAATACTGAGAAATATAGATTACATATTAAGAAAAAAAAATATATATATATATTAATGGCCCTTTTAAATATTTATCAAGGAATTTTGTTGATAATTTTTAATTTATTTTCTATAAAGAAAATTTTATTTATAAAAAATAAAAATCTTCTATACCAAAAAAAAAACAATTTTTTTTGTTATTCAAAACTAATTTAGATTAAAGTAAAAAAGAATCAATTTTAAAATAAATTATTTACGAAAGTATGAACATAACATTCACACATCTGTGATTTGAAATATCGTATCCGAAGGGAGAACACATCACAAACATCCGTTTATTTCTCAAGATAAATAATTTTATAATGAAAGACAAAATATGATTAGCTTCCTAAAAATAGAGGAAAAAAACTAATATAAAAAAAAATTCTCAAATATTTCCTTTATTTTAATTTTCTAATTAATGAAAATTTGATCTTATCGAAATTTCGTTCAAAAAATATCAAATTTCATTAGACACAATTCAAATTTAAAAAAGTCAAATTTAAACATTAATTAATTAGTTTAAAAAATATTTTTCAATTTTTAAATTTAAAAAAAAAGCCACCAATAAGAGATAATTTAAACAAAAGAAAAATTATATTATTAATCAAAAAGTATTAATTGATTTTTAAAATTATTTGTTAATTTTTTAACTATGTTTAATTTCAATTATAATTGAAGGTAGTTTAAATTTTTAATTATCACTATGTGGAAATTTATTTTTAGGTCTCGGGGAGCCACAATATGGACAACCAAAGCCACCAATAAGAGGTAATTTTAAACAAAAAGAGAATTATATTAATCAAAAAAAAAAGTTTTAATTAATTTTTTAATTATGCTTAATTATGTTTAATTATGTTTAATTATTTATGTTTTAATAAACTATTTCATATTTGTTTAACATTGAAACCGTTTTTTTTTTAACAACGCATTTGTTTTCTTTAATTACACAAATAAAAAAAAATTCTGCTTTAATGGGAAATCATATATATATATATATGGAAAATATTACCCCGGACATATAAAAGTTAAAGGGGTGTTATAGGTTCTCGTTCGGTCCAGAGAGGGGACATGTCGCCTTTAGAGGCGTTTGGTGAAAATTATTATTCTCAATGGCCAATCGAGTCAAGTACCCAAGGTACACCTCATATAGTTTTACAGGAAAGGAATTATATTCAAAAAATTAACCCTGCACATTTACCTAATTTTTTCGTCACTTATTGGCACTTTGGCACGTTATAGCAATTTTACTGAATGATCACCTCAATAATAAAGTAGCTGTTCCTTTTATTTATTTATTTATTTTTTTGTGAAATTTTTGTTTTTCCATATCCAAAAAATAATCTACTCCCGTTTTTTGGTTTATAATTTTTAAAAAACCGTTTTTTTTTAAATTTTCTTTGATAAGCGAACAGCTTCTGAAAATTATTTTTAAATCACCGGTGAGAGGACTTTTTAAGAATGTTTTTTTTCTTGCACAAAAAAAAAAATTGCTGCAAATGATCAATATTGCAAAAAAAGACTAACCCTCTTTGTGGTGTTGTTGGGAAGATAAAAAAAAAAAATTTTGCTCTGCAAGCTATTTTATTTATTTAGAAAAAAAATAGTTTTCACTGCGCAATAAAAAGAACAAAAATTTTTTTTTCTTTATGTTTTTAGGGAAAATTAATTTGCAATTTTTTTTTTTTTTTTTGTTTTCTCGATTTAGGCATTAAACCAAAGAGAATTCATCCCTGCGAACAGAGTTCCTGTTATCCTGCGACAGGTAATTTATTAATTGGAAGGACAGATAAATTAAAAGCATCGTCGACATGTGGTTCAAATGGACCAGAGAGATATTGTATTGTCTCACATTTGAAGGATAGAAAAAAATGCTTTTTCTGCGATGCATCATCACAAAAGAAACAACACAGTATTGAAAATATCGTTAGTGGGTGAGTAAATAATTAAAAAATTCAATTTACTACCTAAAGACCTACTCTAGAGATAACGTACCGAAATGCATCCACTATTAAAAAAATATTTTAATAATTTATTTAGAAATATTTTCAATTATATCTCTATAATAAATTTTCACAAGGTTTCTGGAAATTTTTCCATTTTACGCAAATCTGGGAACAAAAAAAATTATATATTTAAAAATAAAATTATCAACATTTATTGAAATAATTTTTAGAGTACCACATAGAACATGGTGGCAAGCAGAAAATGGAGTGGAAAATGTAACAGTCACATTTGATTTGGAAGCAGAATTTCATTTTACACATATAATTATTCGCTTTCAAACATTTCGACCAGCTGCAATGTTAATTGAAAGATCTTATGATTCTGGTAAAACATGGCAGGTTTATCGATATTTTGCACACAATTGCGAACAATTTTTCCCCGGTATACCAACACATGCACCACAAAAATTAACAGATGTCATATGTGAAACGAGATATTCACACGTTGCACCATCACAAAATGGAGATCTTATTTTTAGGTAATACCTCTTTATATGCAATAATTTTTATTCTCTCATTTTTATTCCTAAGAATTTAATTAATAAAAAAAAATGATTTCTATAATTTTTCCAAAATCCATTTTACAGTTTGGACCAGGATAACATGACGTAAGCTAATTTACAAAAAAAAAAAATTGTCCCCTTTCTGTAGAATTGCAAAAATTAATTTTTTTTCTTCACGATAAAAAAAATGTCTTTTTATAATTTTAATTACAGAGTTCTGCCATCAAATTTATTGATCAGCAATCCCTATTCAAAGGAAGTGCAAAATCTTCTAAAGATAACAAATTTGAGAATAAATTTCACAAAACTACATACACTTGGCGATGATCTTTTAGATAATCGTGCGGAAATTCGTGAAAAATATTATTATGCAATCAACGATATGGTAATAAGAGGATCATGCTCATGCTATGGTCATGCATCGAGATGTCTACCATTGCCTGGAGTGGCTAATGAAGAGAATATGGTACATGGAAGATGTGAATGTACACACAATACAAAAGGATTAAATTGTGAATTATGCGAAGATTTTTATAATGATTTACCATGGAAGCCAGCAGTTGGAAAACAAACAAATGCATGTCGTGAATGTAATTGTAATAATCACACAACATCATGTCATTTTGATCAAGCAGTTTATGAAAGATCGGGAAAATTATCAGGTGGTGTTTGTGATAATTGTCTACACAATACGAGAGGACAAAATTGCGAGCAATGCTCACTTTATTATTATCACGATGAGAGTAAACATATTTCTGATCCTTATGCTTGTCAACGTAAGTTTATTCAAGAATTTTTAAATTTTGATTTTGTTATCCTAAAATTTTACATAAAAAAAAAAAATCTCTTTCAGCCTGCGAATGCGATCCTCGTGGATCATTGGACGAGGGAATTTGTGATTCACGAACTGATATTCTCAGCGGTGAAGAATCAGGCAAATGTCATTGTAAAATCAATGTTCAAGGACGTAATTGTAACGAGTGTAAAAATGGCTTTTGGAATTTTGACGAGAAAAATCCCGAAGGATGTCAAGGTAAAATTAAACTTTTTTCAACTGTTTTGAAAATTATATAATAATAAAATGCTTGGTCTGTCCTTCTGTCCTAACTTGAAGTTGGCCTTTTCTGATTTCACTTTTTTTTTTTTTTGAATAGTAATCTTATGACGTGTCAAATTTTGACAATTCTTTTTCTCATTTTTGCCAAAGTTGTTTAAAATTCCAAATTCGAAAATTCAATTCAGAAAGCTGAAGTACACAACGTTTACCAACGAAATTTTTTTTAAAGTTGTATATTGATTCAAAAATTGTATATACAAATACAAAAAATTTATGATGAGAAAAAAGATGCGCCAGGAAATTTCGTACATGATAGTAATTTGAAAAAAATGTATTTTTAAAAATTAATTTTTAAGGTACCAAAAAAAATGGATTTGTTTTTTATTTTAACAAAAATATTTTACAGATTTTTAAATAAAAAAATTTTTTTTTTTTAATAATAATCCTTTTCGAAGGGTTAAAGTTGAAATTTTTAGAAATAATTAAATTTCAAAAGATATTGTTAATTTTCAAACAATTATTAAATTTTACAGAACTAAAAATAATTTATCAAACAATTTTTGGAAAACATTTTTTAAATTTAATTGAATTTTCAAAGATTTAAAATTGAGATTTTTGAAATTAATTGAAACTTTAAGTGATTTTTAATTAAAATTTTAGATGATTTCACTAAGAATTTATTAGAAAATGCGGACAAAATAGAATAATTTGAAAATCATTTTTAATTGAAAAATGGTTTCAGATAGTAATTCAAATTATTGAAAATTCAATTAATTTTGAATTCAAATTTTTCAGAATAATTAAATTTTATTTGATTTTAAATTTGGAAAATAATTGAATTTCAGTTCATTTTGAATTGAAAATTTTGAGAAATAATTGAATTTGAATTGAAATTTTTGATAATAATTTAATTTAAGTTCATTTTTGATTGAAAATTTGGATAATTAATTTTGAATAGAAATTTTAGAAAATAATTGAATTTTATTTCATTTTAAATTGAAAACTTGGTAAATAATTAAATTTTAAATTGAAAATTTTGGATAATTATTGAATTTTAATTGATTTTGAATTAAAATTTCGGGTAATAATTGAATTTTAGTTTATTTTGAATTGAAATTTTTTAGAAAATAATTCAATTTTATTGTAATATTTTTTTTTTAATTATAAACAATTGTTAAATTTCATAAAAATTTTAATTGAAAAATAATTTTCATATAATTGAAGTTGTGATGTATTTAATTAAAATTATCAAAAATAATTACTTTAGTGAAGAATCATTTTAGTTTAAAATTTGTTAAATAATTGAATTGAAGAAGATCTGAAGAGGATCTACATTTTATACTAAAAAAATGTATTTTATTTACATTTTTTTTCAAATGTAAAAAAAAATATCGCATTTTATTAAAATAAGTCGATAAAAGTCGTATTTTTGAAAAAAGTCGGAAAAAGTCGTATAATCCGAGGCCTGTATATAATTTTTATTATTATCATTTAGTATGTAATAATATTCTACTAAATTAAATTATTATTAATAATATTAATCTTTAATTTCTTTATAACAAATAATTAAATACTCAATTTGGCGCGCTTTTAATTTTGCTAGTTATAGAATAAAGAATTACATTCCAAATTTGTAAAGTAGTGGATGATAATTTTCGAAACTATTGATTAAATTTACAGCATGTACTTGCCATATTCTTGGAACTGTCAACAATGAGGGTTGTGATGTTTTCACTGGTGAATGTACTTGCAAACGACACGTGACAGGACGTGATTGTAATCAATGTTTACCCGAGTATTATGGTCTATCGGATGATGCTGATGGTTGTAAACCATGTGATTGTGATCCCGGTGGTGCATTGGAGAATTCCTGTGATGTTGTCACTGGACAATGTCGTTGTCGACCACACGTCACTGGACGAACGTGCAATCAACCCGAACAAAGTTATTACACGGGTTATCTTGATCTTTTGACCTATGAGGGAGAGCTGGCAAGAGGAACTGACGTAAGTGTTTCAGCTTCAAAAAATAATTTAAAAAATCAAAAATAATACAAAAATAATTCAAAAGATGAAAATAAGAAAAAGGAGTAATAACAGAAAAAAAAAATTCATTTTCAGAATTGCCAAGTAGTGATCAGAGAGCCGTACAGAGATGGAAGGAACAACACATGGACGGGAATTGGATTCATGAAAGCCCTGGAGGGATCGACGTTGAATTTCACTATTGATGATATATATAGATCAATGTGGTATGATATTATAGTGAGATATGAGCCAGTGCAAGCTGGTACGTGGGAAGATGTGCAAATTGTCATTGAACGGAACGAACCAGTTGATCCTAATGGTCCCTGTGCTGAATGGAAGCCAGATGATGATCGTTTGTGGACCCAATTGCCAGCAAACGCTAGAAGTGCTGTTGCAATTCCTTCAGTTTGTTTGGAAGCTGGAAAACAATACTCTATTCTGTTGACCTTGAGGAAATTCAATGGTCCCGCTGATACACCATCGGCTTCGATTCTTGTTGATTCAGTAAGATGATTAAGAAACTTTTTAATTCCACTTTCTGATGAGATGTTGATTTCAATTTTTGCTATATAAAAGAATCATTTAAGATCAAGGTCTTCTAAAGATGATCAATGATCAAGCTTTTCTATTTGTTTATCTTGATTTATAAATTGGAATTAAAGTCTGTTTCTTCTGCAAAGTGTTTTTTTTGATTCCATATTCTGTTTTTCTAGATTGTACTGAGGCCAAAGATAGATTTTATTCCAATCTTCACTGATCCAGGTGTGGGAGAACTGCGACGCCATGAATATGATGGTTACAGATGTAGCGAGTACTTCAACAACGTTGGTTATAATCATGATGCACCAGAAAAGTGTAACAAGTACTACAACAGCATCGGTTACTACGTTTATGATGGTGCTCATTGTAAGTTTTTTTGATTCAAGATCTATGCTTGATTCTGTTCTTCGAATTCAATATTAATCTGGATCCTTCACTTCAACTAAATCCTACTGATGATCTAGATCCTATCCTTGATGTAAGTCCTCCTTATTAAGATTTTACACTTAATCTACATTCTACTGATCATCTAAATCTTACTCTTATTCTAGATCCTACTCTTAATCCAGGGCCTATTCCCGTTAAAGATCCTAACAATGATCTAGGGTTTATTTCTCGTTTAGATCCAATTTTTGATCCACGGGCTTATCCTCGTCTAGACCATATTTCTGATCTAGATCCTACTCCTGATTTAAGTCTTACTCTTCTTTTAGTTCCAACCCTTGATCTAGGGCCTATTCCTGGACAAGATCTTACTTCTGATTTAGATCCTACCGTTGACCTAAGTCCTACTCTTCTTTTAGTTCTAACCCTTGATCAGGGCCTATTCCTGGTCAAAATCCTTCTCATGATCTAGATCTTACTCCTGATATGTATCCTACTCTTCTTTTAGTTCCAATTCTTGATCCAGGGCCTATTCCTGGACAAGATCTTACTTTTGATCTGCATCCTACTCCTGATTTAGATCCTACCGTTAATCAAAGTCCTACGTTTCTTTTAGTTCCAATCCTTGATCCAGGGCCTATTCCTGGTCAAGATCCTACTCCTGATTTAAGTCCTACTCTTCTTTTAGTTCCAACCCTTGATCCAGGGCCTATTCTTGGACAAGATCTTACTTTTCATCTAGATCCTACCGTTGACCAAGTCCTACTCTTCTTTTAGTTCTAACCCTTGATCAGGGCCTATTCCTGGTCAAAATCCTACTCATGGTCTAGATCTTACCCCTGATGTGTATCCTACTCCTGATATATCCTACTGATGATCTAGATCCTAATTTAGATTCAGTTCTTGATCTAGAACCTTAATCCTGATCTAGATCCTGATAGAAATTCTAATAATCACTTTAATCAAAACATTTCTCTAAAAACTCTTAAGACACGTAAGATAAATTACCTGATCCTTCTATATTTCCAGTATGTGAATGTAATCCAACTGGATCGCACAGTGCCTTTTGTGACAATTACGGTGGGAATTGTCACTGTAAACAAAATGTTGTTGGCAGACGTTGTGATCGTTGTGCTCCAGGAACATATGGATTTGGTCCACAAGGATGTATTTCATGTGATTGTGATGGTGTTGGTGCTTTGGATAATTTTTGCGATGTTGAAACTGGTCGTTGTAAATGTCGACCAAACACATATTCACGAACTTGTGGGCAGTGTGAACCTGGATTTTGGAATTTCCCCCATTGTCAACGATGTGAATGCAATGGACACGCCGACAGTTGTGATTCACAAACGGGAGCTTGTTTAAATTGTCGAGATTCAACAACTGGCCACAATTGTGATCGATGCATTGCCACTTTCTATGGTGATCCAAGAATTGGAGTTGATATTCCATGTCGAGCTTGTCCCTGTCCAGGTGAGTGTGAATTTTTTTCCTTTTTAAAAGAAATGTAGAGAATTCTGATTTATTCTAATTCAATTTCCATTGCAGGAACTTTGGATTCTGGTCACTCGTATGCAGACAGTTGTTCTCTTGATCCAGTGACTCATGATGTGATTTGTGAATGTCGTGAAGGTTATTCGGGACCAAGATGTGATAGTTGTGCTGAGAATTATTTTGGCAATCCAGAAGTGGCAGGTGGAAGTTGCACGTCCTGTGACTGTAGTAATAATACCGATTTGTATAGGCCGGGAAATTGTGATCCTCATACAGGACGTTGTCTACAGTGTCTCTATCATACGTCTGGACCAAATTGTCAAATTTGCCAACCAGATTACTTTGGCAATGCTCTGCTGAAGGATTGTCAGCAATGCAAATGTGATGTTCTTGGTACTGATCGATCAGCTGGATCTTGTGATCATCGAACTGGACAGTGTCCCTGTTTGCCACATGTGATGGGTCAACTTTGTGATTCCTGCGAAGAAAATCATTGGAGAATAGCCAGTGGACAAGGTTGTGATCCTTGTGAGTGTGATGCCATTGGAAGTATATCCGACAGGTGAGGATAGTAATATTTTCATTTTGATTTGTTGATCCAATCTAATACTTTCATGTTTCTTCTTGCTTTTTCCTTTTCAGATGCAATCCCTTTGATGGAACATGTGAGTGTCGTCCCGGCTTTGGTGGCAGAAGATGCAACGAATGTCAAGCGAATCACTGGGGCAATCCAAATGTGGAATGTTATCCCTGCGAGTGTGATCAAATAGGATCAGCGAGCCAGCAATGTAATCGTGAGACTGGTGCCTGTGTTTGTCACAAAGGTATTGGTGGTCACAAATGTGATCAATGTGATCGTAGTTACATTGGTTTTGCACCAAATTGCAGTCCCTGTGGCGAATGTTTCGACAATTGGGACATGATCCTCGAGGGTTTGAAGAATAAAACAAATTACGTTATTGGTGAAGCGTCAAGAATACAAAAAGTCGGAACCACTGGTGTTTATAGTCAGGAATTCGATGATATGATGTCTTCCATTGAACAGGTGAAAACACTCATTGGAAATGCATCAGTGAGAAGTCAAGATCTCGATGAACTTAATAAATTGGCAGATGATTTAAGTAAAAGTATTTCCGATTCTTCGGTGACTTTAGAGAAAGCTGATGATCTGTTGAATAATGTTAAGCAAAGGGTTAATTTGAATGATGTTGCACTAAAGAATTTGAAGAATCGAACAAATAATCTTCATGAGAAAGCTGTGAATTTGAAGGAGAATGCTACATCTCTGCAGGAGGCAAATGTTCAGGGTGCTTTGAATGTCACACGAATGATGGCTGAACAATCTAGACAGGCTGAAAAAATGGCCAATGATACAACGAGTATTTTGGATGACGCCGAACGATATAAAAAACATACGGAATCATTAATTGCTAAAAATAGCGATGCTGTGGCTGAAGCACATGAAAGAAATAAGGATGCACTTCAAAAATTAGATGAGAAGATCAATTCCTTTGGGCAGCTGATGCCTGCTTTAAATTTGAATATGTGTGGACAAAATGTTTCTGAATGTAGCAGCGTGTGCGGAGGAGCTGGATGTGGTACATGTGGAGGTCTTGCTTGTGATGCTGGAGCTCTTACCAAAGCAAATCAAGCATTGGATGTCGCTAAAAAACAATCGGCCAGGATCAAGAGTCACAGGGATGAAGCTGAGCAACTGCTTCGAAACGTAAGTATTTTTTTTGATTATCTAATCAACGAACATGAATTAATTAAATGGTAAATTTTCAGATGATTGAAGTGAAGAATGACGCAACCTCTGCAAGATCAAATGCCCAAGATGCCTTTAATTTTGCATCAGATGCTCGCCATCGTTCCGACGAGCTAATGAAGAACATAACTGATCTATCGGATAAAATTAGCAGCCTACTGGATCAAACGGAGAATAATGATCATCCAACGCCATCGCAGGTACGAACTCTCGCTCAACAAGTACTCGAGAAAAATATTCCTTTGAAACCCGAGGAAATCACAGAACTAGCTGATAAAATCAAACACATTGTCAGTTCACTTACAAATCCTGATAAAATTCTCGAAGAGACACGATATGATTTGGAACGAGCAACGATATTAGCAGCTCGTGCCGAACATGCCAAAAATGCTGCACTCGAAAAACAAAATCTCGCAAGTAAAGTTAGTGATCTATTAAATGAAGCCAAGGAAGCTCAAGATCTCGCTGAATCAGCCATTACAAAAGCCAATGAAGATATTACGCTATCCGAAAAAGATTTAACTGAAATCATTGAGGTAACTAGGGATGCAAAAAAGAAAGCTGACAATACATCAAAATCAGTTGACAGTCTAGAGGAGAGATTGAAAAAATTACAAACTCACGTTGGTAAAAATGAATTTATCGTGAAACAAGAAATTTCACACGAGGGAGCAAGAGTTGCAGAGGATGCTAAAATTGTTGAGAATAAAACTAATCAACTTGGTAGACAATACAAAGAAGCGAGTGATCTATTGAATGATAGAGTTGACAAGAGCAAGGAGAATATTCAAAGAGCCAAGAGACTTTTGCAACAAGCTTCTGAGCTCACAGCCGATACATCGGCGAAATTTAAAGATCTTGATGGAATGGAAAGTGTCTACAAGGATAATGAGAGAATTTTAAGTGGTCTTATGGCAGACGTTGATGCACTTACTGAAGAGATGACACGTCAACTTGAAAGCATTGAATTAAAATCTCAAGAATACCGACAATGTTCAACTTAGAATCAAATAATTGTTTTTGATAACAAGTATACAGATTTTTCATCAATATATATATATATATATATATATATATATATATATATATATATATATATATATATATATATATATATATATATATACAAAAAAAATTATCTGAAATAGTTTCTTTTCAAAATTAATCGAATAGCTAAATATTTCTGTAAAATACAAAAGAAATTTTAACTATTCCTGTGAATCGTTTAGCTATTTCAGATAAATCTCTTTTTGTATATTACAGATTTGTTTCTCTGTATTAAAGACGCTACAATGGTGCCCAAACTTTTTGATTAATATATTTTTTAATTGAATCAAAATAATTAAAAATTTTCATGGAAAATAGAATTATTAAATTATTTTTAATTTTTAATTTGAACAATGCAAAAATTTTATGATAAAAAGAATCGAGAAAATAATAATAAATTATTATTTTTGAAAAAAAGAAATGATAAAAATTTGAATATATTTTTCTTGTTAAATTTTCAATTATAGAAAATTATGTTAATCAAAAATAAATGGGTTTTAATAGTCAGAGATTTTGTAATATATGTATAGGATTATTTGACGAGACTTTCTGCAATAATGTAAATGTGAAGAGGTAGGCTCATATTTTTTTTTTAAGTTCAAAAAATATAATGAAAGAGAATTTTTTTTAAATACTAGTTTTTAATACTCATAATTAGTTAATAGCGAATTTTTATTATTTTTAGTTTTAGTAATTTTTAAACCAAAAATTAGAAACATCAATTAAATTTGAAGTTTAGGAATAGAATTTTTCTTCTAAATTTAAAATTAAGAAAAATGATTGAAAATTAGAAAAATAAAACAAACTTAAATCGATAGGTTAAATTTTTTAATTTAAGATACAAGAAATCTTTTTTTTTTAAGTCTTATTCTTCACATTTACAATTTCTCTATCTTCTTAATGACAAAAAAAGATATAAATTTGCAATTAATTTTTAAACGATTGCAAAAATCTATCATTTTTTTCAAGCCCTCTGATTTAATTTTTAAAAAAAATTTTCTGGCAATTTGACGTACTTATAAAATACCAGTGATGAATTTACAAATAAGAAACTGTAAATCAAATACACTGATTAAGTGATAAGAATTCTTTTTTTTTATATATATATAATTTCAAAAAATTCCGTTTCTTATTAATACTTTGAAAATAATAAAAGCATTCCAAATGAATCTTCAAAATTGAGTTTGGGACCAGTTGAAAAAAAGAAACAAAAAAAAAATTCGTCTTTATTCCGTGACTCTGACTTTCTTACAAGTGCCATATATAAATTTGGACCACCGTGTTCAATAGCTTAAGAGGCAAATTATACTTTTTACTCGAACTGAACAAGAATGTACATAAAGATATTATTATATAACAATTCATCAGAATCATATCCATATCTTTTGCAGGATGCCTTGTACTCTCTTAGATAATTAGTAAAGTAAGAATAATAATAATTTAAGAATTATTGAATTTTATAGAGATTTTTTGCACAGAGATTAAAATGACCAGTAAATAAACTTAAAAAAAAATCGTAAATCAAATATTTGAACCGCGTTTTGGTTCGTATATATATATTTAATATACTTTGTTATCATTGTAAGCTAGAGAATATTTAGAAAAATAAAGGAAATTTAAAAAGAAAAATGAAGCAAAATTTAGAAAAAATTTAAAGAGGAATTAAAAAAAAAATCCAAGAAGATATTTTTACTTCTTTGTTTTAGTGAATATTTAAAATGAATTATTAAATTTAACTCGAAAATATTTTTAAAAATATTTCTTGGAGCTTTTTTTTAAATATTTTTTAGTTCTTTGAATCCCGGACAGAAATGATAAAATGAGAAATACGATAGACCTGATAGTCCTTTATCTTAATAAAATATTTTTTTCCTTGGCCTTGAAACACCTGCATTTATTTTTTTATTTATTAATAAAACATTTTTAATTATGAAATTTTACTAAAAAAATTTTTTCTTAACGAACAAATAATATTCCACAAAAATTTGTATAACAAAACATAGTGAATTTGTTTGAATATAAAAAATAATAATTTTTTTTTTTTAGTGATTTAAATTCGCGGTTCAAATAATAAATTCGAAACAGTAGGAGGTGCGTGATCGTTATATATATTTTTTCCTCCTTAAGGACCTTTTTTTTATTTTCATTAAAATCGTTTTCTTTTCTCTTTCTAATGTGACCAGAGACTGCGGCATTCCATGAATGGAAGCTCTGTTGAATTCAAATGGGTGAATGCATTTTGAAGGGCTACTCTTATACAATGGTCTCATTCAAAGCCAGGGGATCTCAAAATAAAATTCAAAAATATAAATTCAAGAAAAAAGTTATTCTTTTATATTTAAAAGAAAAGAAATATTTCCAAAATAGAATGTTAATAATATATATATTTTTTTTCAATTTGGAATTTTTATTTCATTTTATTAATGCCACTTTTTAGGACACAGTGAAAAGTAAAATAACTTTTTGAGAAACTAAAAATAAAATTTAAACGACTCTAATCATAATATTTATTTGAAAGAAAAATTGAGATTCACTGAAGATCTTTTTGGTCGTCAAGACAGGATGTTCATATGAATTATTATCGTTTCATAAATGAAGCTAAACGAAGTCATTTGTGTTCATTGATGCTTGTTGGACCATCAAAGGTGTTAAATTTTAATAAATTACTATTTAATTGCCTGATAATTAGATCCATGTATTTTTTATTTATTTAAATTCAAGAATTCATAAATAATTTATTGTATCGCGGTGTTTATTAATTTTTTCAATTATATTAATATTTAATTAAATTAATTATTAATAATTAAATTAATTATTAATTAAATAATAAATTGAAAATTAAAGAATTAAATAAATAATTTTAACAAAATTATTAGAATGTAATGTATTTTTTTTTTTTATAGTTGGCGCTAAAAATTATAAAACGAAAAAAAATTTTTTTTGATTGTCAATGAAAAATAATTTTAATGTCGAACTCTCTAATTTACAAGTGGCAATTGCTTTGAAAAATTGATTCATCGGTTATAATGATACAGGGTTCCATTCATTCGCGTTATCATTTTGCTGACTTGATATTATACGGCCGTCTATATTCCATTTGCTCATCAAACGCGATAAATGTGTTTCTTTCTCTTCATGCATCAAAAAGACTATTATTAACAAGACATATCGCCCCCGCGCGCACAATATATCCTATGATTAATCACTGTTCGTTTAACTCGCTAACTCTCATTTTCTCTCTTTGATTGGCACTGAGGAATCTCTGCATATATACCAATAATTACATGGAAAAAAAATCATTTATCTTTTGTAAAATTACAACAATAACAATAAATAATATTACTAATTAAAATTTAAAAGGTCAATAAATTATATTATTTTTCTGAGAAAATGAAAAAATTTATAATTGTTCAAAAAAACAGCGAGAAAAAATTTTTTTTTTTTAATTAAGAATGGTAATTTTTTTACTAAATAAGTATAGTAAAATTTACTAAATTTTTACTAAGTTAATACAGAATTATATTAACTTTCTTTTTAATTCCTAAAGTAATTTTTTACAAAATAATATGTAACTATAGTAAAAATTAACTAAATTTTTCCTTTATGTTTACTAAATTAATACAGAAAATTTTACGAATTGTAAATTAATACAAAAATTTTAATTAAGTTAATACAGTAATTTTTCTTTATTTTTTATTAAACTACTATATTAATTTTTCCATTTTAATTTTTCAATGAAAAAAAAATATATAAAAACCATTTTATTTTTGTTTGAGATAAAATAAATTCTAAGAGGATAACGCAAAATTTTTGTTATATAAAAATTAATAAATAAAAAAGTATCGTAAAACTGAAGAGGAATAAAGTGGGTTTTTTTTTGCTTTTTTTTTGAAGGGGGAAATTTTCTATGACTAGAATATTTATTTATCTATATGGGGAAAAATATATTCGCGATATGAGTTTTAGTGACGAAGATAAAGATTTCTGATGTGTATACGAAAACTGATTGTATTATGTTACCCCTGCGCTTTGGTGTATATGTATATATATATATGTATTTACTTTCCAGGGGTCGACGGCTTTATGAGGTTTTAGACGAATATATGAGAACTTTAACAGAGTACTTCATGCATCTTTTTTTTCAACTTTGTTGAAAAGTTGAGAAATATTAAGGATAAACGTAAAAATGAGATTTTAGAAAAACTAAATGATTTTTCAAAAAAAACCATTGTAGAATTTAGAAAAACAACCATTGCCTGAAATTATTTTTTTTTGATTTCCATTAATAAAAATTATTGAAACAATTTTTTAAAATATTACCATTTTTTTGAAAATACGATTTTTTGAAACTACTATTTTTTGAAACTACCATTATTTGAAAATACGATTTTTGGAAACTACGATTTTTTGAAACTACTATTTTTTGAAACTACCATTATTTGAAGCTACAATCAATCGTAACTATTATTTTTTCGAGTCTATATATGGTTATTTGTAATTTGATGATAATATTCGAAATTTTAGTAATATTAATTTATATTATAATTAATTTATAATATTGGATCACGGGTCATTGAATTTGCACAAAAATTGTACCAGTTAATTATTAGGCTATGAGAATTATTAGGCTCTAATTATTAGTCTCTTTCTGAATCATTTTTCAATTTATGAAAAAAACTGCTTTTGTATAGGCAGGACTCGAACCCAATGCTCCTTTCCTAGTCGGTAGAGTACTTTAACCACTGAGCTACTACCTCGAGTAGAATTAAAAATTACTTCTGTTTATCATTACAATCTATTAAAAGTAGTAAACTAATAAATCTTGTTTTTACCATAAAAATTTTCAAAATAATTTTCATAGCCTAATAATTAACTAGTACAATTTTTGTGCAAATTCAATGACCCGTGAGTTTTTGCCCCCTTCAAAGGGGCCTTTATATATGAGATCGCTTTTATCAAAACAGAGAATCAAAGGTCGAAAAAAAATATATATATATGGTAAAATTAAAATATTGGACCTATTCAAAAGTTATTGTTTTTCTGACGGAAATTGTATATTTTCTACAGTGAGAGAGCATCGATCGTTTCCTGCATCCTGTCTGAATATACCATATATATATAGGGTTTAACTTCTGCACCTTTGGTCGTTAGGATTATTTGCCATTGAGCCATTTCAGTGAATTGTTCGACAAACGGGGAACACTCTCTCTTAGAGGGTTGACAGCTGCTCTATACCATTTCTGCCCAGTTTTCGTTTAGTAAATAACTAAACCAATCGGAGTGCAGAATTCACCTTTATATACTTGCACTTCGAGTCTCGTTTCTTCACTACTATATATAGGCGCAAAAAAAAAATATATATTATATTTGACGATGAGGTCTATTAAAATACGATACGAATCTTCGTATGAGTTTATGCTTTGCCGTCAAGGCGAACGCACGTGTTTTTTTTTTCTGAGCTCAAAACGCTCATGATAATAGAATCTTTGTGATAATGTGTGATGATTTCACTGTTCTCGTTTCAAGAATTTATAATTAACAATTGGATGTTATATCTCGAGGTTTACGAGTTTAAAATATTATTATATATTTAATGTAAGCACAGAAAATTAAAAGGCATTAAAATAAGCTGCAACGCTTATTATTTTAATCCAATTTTGTTTATTTTAATACCAAAATGGATTAAAATAATAATCGTTGCAGCTTATTTTAATGCCTTTTAATTTTCTGTGAGTGTGTAAAAATTAAATGTAAATTATAATCAGTGGTTTTTTTTCCTTTTTAAATAATTCATATAGAATGTGTACGTTAATATTAATTTTTTTTTTGTTATTAAAAAAAAACCCTTAATTTTGAAGTTTTCAAAACTTAAGTTGATTTTACTTCGATTTTAAACTGAAAATTAATTTATCTTTATTAAGGTAATTCGCCTTTTTACAATTTTCTTTTAATTTTATAAATATTCTTTAAAAAAAAAATTGTTTTTGTTGAATACATTAAAAAAAATGCAATTTTTTTTTTTTTAAATGACAAAGTGTAAATGGGGTCCCATTAATTTTTCTCTATGTGAACTATAACAATAGTTGTAATAGATTATTATAATAATACTAAAAATAATAATAATTTGCCATTAATTAGAATTTTATTATTAAATTATTAAATGGGATAAAAAATATTAATTTTTAAAATAATAATAATAATAATATAAATGTTTAAAATATTTCAATAATAAAATAACTTCCGTTGTAAACCACACATTTCCTTAAATTAAAAGTTTCTTTTGCAATCGAGAGGGGAATGATTCATAAATAAATAGAAATGACACATTTTAATGTCTTTATTATCTTGCTCTTGAATCAATATATGGGAGAAAAAACTTGGAACAGATAATATTGCGATAATTTCGAAATATATATATATAATTGGTCCAGAATTACGCAATAGATTTTCTCTAAACAATGTGAAAGTATAAAATTATGAATGAAAGAAAAATAATATTCTACATAAAATGTTTACGAAATACATAATACTTTGGAATTTTGCAAAAGACCGGAAATTATAAATTTTTATTTAATTAAAATACATTAAATTGCAATTTTAATTGAATAACAATGAATTTCTTGTAATTGTAAAGTTAATTATTCCAATTATTTAATATTATTATTATTATTATTATTATTGATTATTTTAATTAAAATTGTTGTTTAATTCAAAAACTTTTAAATATTTTCAATTAAACTGTTGGATTTTATTTAAAAAAATTTTTATTTAAAAAAATTTTACTTTCTCACACGGAGAAAAAGAAAAAGTAATTTTTACTACTTTCAGAGTAAAACTGGACCAACTCGAAGTTTCTGCGCATCTCTGGCAATTTTTACTCCGAAAATAGTAAAATTTATTATTTCTGTAGTAAATTTTACTGTTTCCGTAGTAAGTTTTACTATTTCTAGAGTAAATTTTACTATTTTTGGAGTAAAAATTGCCAGAGATGCGCAGAAACTTTGAGTTGGTCCAGTTTTACTCTGAAAGTAGTAAAAGTTACTTTATAAAAGAAATCTTTTTTCTCCGTGCAGAAACAATATTTCAAAAAAGAAAACAATTAGAATAATAAATTAAGATAAATGTTCTTTATTTGTAAAATTTTCTTCTAAATCTATGTTATTTGATATTTTAATGAACTTTTTCTTAAATTGGCATTGACAGAGAATATGAAACTTAAGGACATGTTTAACTACCTAATGACTACATCTGGGTGACAGATTCGTTCTTCTTGAATAGCTTTTTGCAAATAAAAAAAAAAAACAGAAACCCCGAAAAAAAGTAACGACTCTAGTGTGAGAAAATTTTCAACAATCTTACGCAAAATATTTATGTCATTTAAAAAAAAAAAAAAAATCTTTGAAACTTAAATAAATATATTAACTCTAAATTACTTTAAATTAATTTAAATTTAAAAATCACAACATTTTTTTGAATGAAAAAAAAGAGTATTAAAATGCAGATTGAAAAATGTATCAACAAAAAAATTACAATTAATTTTTATACGCTACAAACTAGAAACTATACATTATTTAAATTCCAAAAATAAATTCTAATTTTACATACAAAAATACTATTTTTGAGTTTGACATAAGAACGAGAAAAATTAATGGGCAATAGAGACGTAAGGCAAAAGTTATTTTTGAACTATAGCACAAAACTAATATCGAAGCCATTAATAAATATATATATATCGTAATTTATATTGACTCTATATATAAATTGAAAAGTTATCAACCTCTCTCATTTAAAAGCAGGCGATTAAAATGATGAATTTATTATTCTAGAAAAAGAAAAAGAAAAAAATAGAAATTACATTAAAATTTTTTTTAACATTAAATTTTAAATAATTATTCAAAAATCAAAATAATTAATTAACAAACAATTCAAATGGATCAAAGCATTAGCTTTAAACAAACATAATAATTTTCCTCCCTACTTTGAAGTTAAAAAAAATAAATGCATTTGACAAGTTGTCTCTATATGTTCGTTAAAACACATGTTTAACGCACAGAGAGGAAAAACTAAAAGTAAGAAGAAGGAAAGGCGTAATTCTAGTGTACGTTAGATAAGAGAAGGTCCCTCGTGCGTGTCCTAAGGCAAACTCTATAGTCAGTCTTTGAGAAGCAACTGCAGTTGCCTGTTGTTTGCTACTACCAAGAGTAAAGAATTGTATATTGAAAGTTTTTTATATCAAGCAACAGAAAAAGTGCTATAAATTTAATGTTTGTGATAGGAATTATTACATCAGAACTCCAGATTTAAAATCGAGGCTGTATAACTTGTTTTTTTCATTTAAAACTTTTTATTTTCAACTCCATTTACACGGTGAAGAAAAACATAAACACTTGGATACTTATTTTCGCTAATTACTTATTAAAACATTTTTTTTTTTTATTATCACGTTTTAAGTCTAGAAATTAATGTTATTTTTTAATTATTGTATTAATTTTAAAATAAAAAAATTAACAACTTATGAAACAAGTGATAAAATTTTGGTAATTACTATTTATTTCACATTATTAATATTAAAAAAATTAAAAAATTTTATTATTAATAACAAAAAAAATTTTAATTAATAACAAAAATCAAATAATATTATTATAATAACAATAATATTTGCTTTTTGTTATTAATTAAAATTTTTATTTTATTATTATTATTTTTTTTTTTAATTTAATAACTTAATTTTTTAATAGCATTAAAAATTTTTTTTATTTCAATTAATTGTAAATAAAATTTTAGATGGTTTTTCTTATTTTTAAATTAATATTAAATTAAAAATTATATTTTCAGGACAAATCTTTTAAAGGGATATGAGGCGCGAGAGAATCAAAAATAAAGGAAAATCGAAATTTTATCGACAATGGGGGAAATTTTAAATGAAACAATTTTTGCTCAAGATGATAGTGTGAGATCTTTACCACGATTTGTGACTATCATCGCAGCTGTGTGTGCTATATTGTTTAGCGTCGTTGGAATTTTAGGTGAGACATGCTCCTAATATCTGTTTCCCTTTTCATTATTATATTCACATTTTCAAAAGAACTTTTCAACTTTAGCTCTACATGACCAATTTTTTTTTATATATATTAGAAAAACAAATTTTTCCAACCCAAAGAAACTTGTTTTTGAATTAAATCAATTTCTAAATAAAATTAATTATTACAATTATTATTTAAATTCGTCACTAAATTTTATATATTACAAATTATTTTTAATATTTCAAAATTGATTAATAAATTAAAAATTAATAATTAATAGGCTTAATAAATTTTACTTTTATAAAAAATAGTAAATTGTAAAAATAAATATAGTAACGTATGTTTAAATACAATAATTGGAATGTGAAAATAAATTTATTTAATAAAAATTTTTTTTTATATTTGCAAATGATTCGTTATAACTGAAGAAATAATTGACATTATAGAAAAATAAATATTAGCTTTTGTGATTTGATGAGTCAATATATGCAGTTTAAAAATAAAAAAAAAAAAAAAAATCTATCGGCTAAATGCAGATCGATTGACTGCATTCGTTAATTAAACTCACTTCTTTTTTTCAATCTAAGCCAATTTATGTCTCGATTGCTCAGCCATACCCCTTCCTTCACCTTTTCTGTTCGCCCATTGAACTTTCTTGTGTGTATATACATATATAAATATAGAACCCTGTATATACTTAAGGACTTCCTTTTAAAATTTATAAAAGCCATTATAATTGTAATTAGGGTGGTGACACCAACTGTTCAATTCAAGGTCACCCCATAAATTAATTACAAAATTTATATTTATTTTACAATATACTCTTCTAATTTAAATAAAGTATAAAAAATATTTTTTAATAGAAAAAACAATTTCATGTAATAATTACAATTTATAAAAAATATATATTTCTCTAACCTTATAGTCACAACTGATGTAAAACAGACCTATTGGAAACACACGCGATTTAAAAAAATTTCGAACACTACCGAATTGACCTTAAAATTATTTTAAAAAATACTTTTTTTTTTTTAATAAAGAATACTTTTTATAAAGATTTAATCGATCGCGATTTTAAGAATTTCGAGCACTCATAGAATAAAAAAAAATTTACTAGAATGAAAAAAAAAAATTTAACACTCAAAAATTATAAATCATGTCTAAACAGGTCAATAGACGAATTGCAACTGATTTAATTATCCTTGGGATTTTATAACCTTTGACTTAAGGTCCTTTATACTTTAATGTAAACATAAACAGCGCTCGGGATGCATGTATAAAGATAATTTCAAAATTCCAAAATAATTTTTAAAATAATCCAGAAGTATAAACTACAAATAAATATAATTATTATAATATAGAAAAATAACGTTTTATTATATAATTGAATTTTTTTTTTCTTCTAATTTATATTAGAAAATTTTTTTTTATCATTTATTTATATTAAAAAAAAATATAGGAACTAATATAATTAAATTATTATTATTATAAGAACAATTATATAAGAATTAATTATTCTTTCTTTGGATTTATTTAAAAATTATTATTATTATTCAAAAATCTGATATAAGCTAAATTTATATAAATCGAACAAAATTCATATTAATTTTGATTTTAAGAATAGATTAAGAGAGTGGAAGAATTAAAACTAATTTCCTGTTCAATCGTTTATAATCAGTATAGGTATATAGAATGATACACATAATTGTGTATAAGAAATTTAATGAGTCACGAATGCAAGTTGAGTTTCTTACAAGCACCCATTTTATTATTATATGAAATGCGGCACCAGTCATAGACTCTCTCATATTACATTCTTTATATAGTTAGTATAACACTTGATATTTTTTAATTCACATATATGAGACTTTTGACCCATTAAATTTACTCTCATTTAATAAAAACCATAAGGGTTACAAATTAAGAAAATATTGTGAAAAACACCCACTCATTTTCTTTACTATGTATAGAATATATGAAATATTTAGTCTAACTTTCACTCCTAAATGCAGTTTAACTATTCCAGATATTTCATAAATCTCTCTCTTCATAAATCTTTAAATAACTATTAATAAACAATTTTTATTAAATTTTGATTTCAATTTTTCGAATTATTTTTCTAAATAAAATCAAAAAGAACAAATTTTATTTCTGATTTTATTAATTATTTTTTTCTTTTTAGTTTCTATACGAAATTTCGACAATTTTTTTTTTTTTAAATTTCATTTACTAAGTCTCTATAGAAAAAAAAAGATTATTAAACATTCTTTTTTGTTTCAGGAAATTTAATAACAGTTTTGGCATTATTAAAATATACAAGACTGAGAAAACATGCAACGACTGCATTTGTCATAAGTCTTAGTGTTTCGGATTTAATATTTTCATCGGTAAATTTACCACTAACGGCGAGTAGATATTTATATGAGGCATGGGTACTTGGTGACGCACTCTGTCAAGTGTTTCCCTTATTTTTTTACGGAAATGTTGCTGTATCACTTCTCAGTATGGTGGCTATCACCCTCAACAGGTGAGATGGGGGGGGTCATTTAAAATCATTACAGTTCTAAATTATATTTCAAATGAGACGAAATTTGTTTTTTTTTTTCAATTTTCATCAAATATTTTAATTTGAAAATAATATAAAAATTATTTTCAATTATTCAATCTAATTAAAATTATTGAATAATTAATCAGATAATTGAAATTATTTTCAAATATTTGGAATTTTTCTAATTTTTCTATTTAATTTCAGATACGTTTTGATATCAAGATCAGATTTATATCCACACATTTATACGAGCCGTGGAATAACATTGATGTTAATTGCAATTTGGACACTAAGTTTCTCACTATTAATTCCATCGTTACTTGGAATTTGGGGTAGACTTGGATTAGATCAGACAACATTTTCATGTACAATATTAAAAAAAAATGGTACAAGTCCAAAAAAATTACTCTTCATTTTAGGCTTTCTTGTGCCATGTCTTGTGATAACTGTTTCTTATCTTTGTATTTACTATCGTGTGAGAAGTAGTCGTAAAAATCTCGAAGCCCATTCACGTGGTGGTAAGCGAAAAAGTACGGGATTTCAAAGACGTGAAGATTCAAGAGTCACGAGATTGATGTTAATAATTTTTCTTTGCTTTTTACTTTGCTTTATGCCATTAATGATAGCAAATGTTGTTGAAGATAAAGTGAAATTGCCAATTTTTCATGTGATAGCCTCAATTTTAGCATGGGCATCATCAGTTATAAATCCATTTATTTACGCGGGTACAAATAAACTTTATCGTGCTGCTTATCGACAATTACTCTGTCGTGGAAGTCGAAAAACACCTGCATTAGGAGGACCAAAGCCAATTTGCTCGCAATCGAGTAAATTTTCCTCACAACCCACATGACAATTAATTAATAATTCCGAGAGTCTGTCGAAATAAGAGATTATTAATGAAATTGAAAAAAGGACCATCTGCAAAAAAAAAAAAATCTTTTAGATAATTAATAAATATAAGAGGAAACCATTTCTTAGAATGGATAAAGATATAATTAATTATCTTGATTTAAGTTTAAGGCCCTAGATCTGAATCATAGTAAAAATGATAAGAATACAAAAAGCGAACAGCAAAAAAAGAAACGAGAAAAGAAATTTTTCTTGAACTTTGTTTGAACCAAAGTTTTAGATAATAAATCAATGAGTGAACTTGAAAGATCAAGAGAGCTCTCTAAACAAGTATTATTTTTTGATTTTATACAAGTGAGGTATTTAAATTTAGATTAATGTAATTAAAATTAATTTCTAAAGGCCGTGTAGCGAAAGAGAAATTTTTTCAAAATGCCGTAATTAATATAAATATTTTCAAATAATATATATGAGATATGAATTCAAATTTTTAAGCTTAAAAATTGAAATTTTTATTTTGATAATAAAATAAAAAATTAAACGTATTCAAAATTCGCAAAAAATTTAAAAAAAAATCCAAGGTATTTAAATTTTTCTCTCATTAATTTTCAGGAATAATGAAAAAAAAAAATTACACCTGAAAATTAACTTAAAATTATAAGTTAAATTATAATAAGATGTAAATTATAATATCTATATTTCTACGAGAAATCATTTATAGAAATTTTTATTTGAAAAAAGAAACAATTTTTAATATAAAAAATGCAGTAAAATCGAATACAAAATTTCATTTTTGGTATTACACTCGCTATATAAACATGTGAACCTGTATATCTGTATGTGTGTTTGTATATGGCTTTTTAAGTACTGAAGCTTTAAATTAGTTTAAATGGAATGGACGAATACTGTAATGTAAATACACAATCAATAAGATACAAAAAAACGAATTGCAAATTATTTCTAATCTCATTCATATTTTTTTATAATAGCGAAATTCTCACAATTATTGTAAATTTGTTCATATTTTCTAGTTTTAGAATAATAGTAATTATTCATATTAGTATAGCATATGGCATAAAAAATACGCTTTCTTATAGTTAAAGAATATTGAGATTATTCGAAAAATACAGTCGAGTTTTTTTTTTATATTTTTAGTTTTTAAATGCACTTTGAATGATATTTTCTTTCTCTTAAAGTAGAAATTTCTCAATTAATTATTTTTGAAATAAAAAAAAAAAAAACACTACTTCGAAATACATGCAACATTTTGTTCTTTTCTTTGTATAATTAAAAGAACTGTAAATCATTAAATATCGATCATTTTAATTTTAATATCTATTACTCTGTTTCGTTACGAAAAAAATGTGTCTTAATTAAAAAGTACAAACTAAATATTAAAAAATCTAAGAACACAAAAGGTTCATTTAAAAAAAATGTACAATAAAATAATTTTTTAAAATTTTTTCAAAATTTATAAATTGTTTAGCACAAGTCTGATGGACGAGTAAAATATTAAACTATTTACCATAAAATAGTTTCTTTTTTTTCAAGTACCAAACAATCTATTTAAAAAAACAATAGATAGAAATTTTAATTTATAAAATATAAATTGTAATTCATAAAATAAAAAATAGAAATAAATTTTAATATATAAAACAAAAAAAATTAGTTTTTGTAAATTACAAAAATAAAAAAAAAGTAAATTATTGTCGATCAATATCGACAGAGTGAATCTCACTTTGCTTAAATTCTATTAAATATGGACGGATATAAATTTCATTAAAAAAAAAAAAAAAAATTATGTTTTCTTGATTACCTGTGAAATTAAATACTAATAATATGAAAGCGGAGTACTTCGAATCAGATCTAAAAACTTTGTCAGCAGTGTTTTTTTTTAAATACATTTGGTAACTCCTCATTTTCTTTTTTGCGCGTGTATAAAATACTTGATATTCTTTTGCTTATTTCTCCATTAAGCAAAAATTAATGACGAAAATATTGTTTTATCTTTTCTAATTAAGCTCCAATTCAGGCAGATAAGGCTCCGTAACTGTTGTAATTGGACAAAGGCTCAATGTATCCTGCAAGAAAAGACAGAAAACAAATTAAAAAATTTGAAAAAAATTTTTTTGTTTCTCTTTCGAAAAAAAAAACTCACCAATCGAATTAATTCATCAAAAGTGGGTCGTTCGTGTTCATCGTTACTCCAACAAGAGAGCATAACTTCATAGACAGGATCGGGTGTGTCTCTCAATTGTTCAAGTCTCACACCTCTTTCCAATGCCTCCTCAACATCACTGTCAAGCTGAAGATTTGAGTACGGTGTACCACCCATACTCAACATTTCCCATAATAGTACACCAAAAGCCCATACAACACCAGCTTGATGTTTTTTCTGATTACTGAAACATTCAATTGCCGTCCATCGTGCATATTTAAAATCTTCCAATGCATATTTTCCAATTCCATGGCCCATGACTTTTGGCGTCCAATCACTTGCAATTCCAATGCTTCTCGCGCACAATTGATTGTGAATAATTTTATTATTCTCCAAATGTCTCAATGCAGCGGCAATTGATGAGCCAATTTTCAAAATTTTCTCTGATGGAAATATTTCACCCGATCTTGATGCCAATAATTTATTTTTTAATGTTTGCGATGGCATTTCAATGGCAATAAATAATGTATCTGATGTTTCACATGTACCAATAAGACCCGCTAAAAATTTCATTGATCCACCTTTAATGCAAATATCCAATTCACGTAGCATTTGACGTTTTTCTGATTTTTTTAATGAGGTATCAGATATTTTATGAACACTCGACGATATTGTAATTCCATCTTTTTGCACTTGTCCCCAATGAATTGTACCAAAACGACTACGTCGCAATGGGACATTGTCAAAATTTAAAAAATTCCTCGGAATTGTCCATATTTTCAATTTTAAATCCTGATAATGATTTGTTTGTTCTGGCATATCCTCAGGAATATATGCCATATTATCAACTTCATATAATGGTCCTTGTAATGTTAATTCCTGCTGTTCGGGTAATTTGTGCATACGATCTTGTCGTCGATGTTTTCGTTTTAGAACAAAATACAGGACAATTGATATTAATAGAAGAGAACTGAGAATTACTATCGCTATCCAGAGAATTATTGCCGTTACGTTCGTTGGCGAGATGGGGGTGAGTTTTTTATGATCTGGAAAACTTTTTGTCAAATCGGAATAACTATATTGAACGCTGTCACGATTTCTCGAAACAATAACCAATCCAATTTGTGGTGTTGTATTTAATTCAAATGGTGAATTATAATAACCACCAATTGTTTTTCCATTGCCAACGGTGAATTTTGAATATCGTGGAAAATCAAAATCATCAAATTCAGCAGTCACATAATAACCAAGATCATCGTCTTTACCGTGTGTTTGATGATAACTTGGATAGGCGATATCATTGCCTGTTGGGGGAAAAATACCCGGTAATACAACAACAATTTGATAAAATGTTATTGGACCATTTTCACTACTACCACGTGAAATTTCAACTATCATTGTATTTGCAAATTTTTCGAGAATTCGCGGTGTTTCTGGTTTATTTGGTGGACCAATTAAAGTGCGATCAGTGTTAAAAACAGGATCGCTAACTCCATTTACATTGTGTGCAACAATAGAAATATTGTATTCGGTACCCGGTTGAAGACCTTGAAAAACAGTTGTATTTGAAAAGCCACCTTCGACTTTAATCTCAATTGGTGGCAGTGGAGTAGTGGCGTAAGTTTTTATTACTTCGGCTCGTAAAGTATAGGATGTAAGATTGCCATTTGGATTATCAGGTGGTTGCCAAGTTACTCGTAAAGAACGCGGTTGATCGTGATAAATGTCTATTCTTCTCGGTGGACTTGGACCTAAAGATAAATTAATATTTTGTAAAAATAAGAATATTCTCGCAATATTTAAAAAATGAAAACATAAAAGCAAAAATAAATTATAATTTAAAAAAAAAAATACCTTTTCGACCAGTTGCATATATACTCATTGCATTAAAAGATCCACACATATTCGTGTCATTTTGTGTACTTGAACACGGCATCGTGCAATTTTCCGATAATCCTTTTTTTCCGAAAGCACTGCCACAATAACATTTATGACCAGCCATTAGACCCGCGAACCTTTAAAAATTAATTTTTAATTAATAAAATAATAATTAAATTCAAGAAAAACTCATACTATACTTTATTAAATAAGTCGTATAAAAATCAAGAACAATTATATTTTTTTTTTATCAAACTCACATGAAGTAATGTGATCGGCATTCGTCAATGCAACCTTCAGGTGAACCAAAATCTTTCGAACTTGGAACATTTAATTCAGGATCATTTGATGAACTTTCATAACATCCAAGATATTCTATACCCAATAGAACATCAACTCCAAGGAGGAAAATGCACCATAATAAAAACATATTGATTTTTTTCTTGTAAAAATAATCACTCACGTTTGATATTTAACAGAATTATTAAAGAACTGCGGCATGTTTTTCCGAGGAGAACAATGAAGTCTGAGTCAGCTATCAAATAGCTAACAAAGAAATAATATTAAAAATGAAAACACGCACAATTTTTGAGGTTATGTTTAAAATGTCAATTTTTTCCTTATATGTATTTAATGAGTTTTTTTTTTTAATATTTCTCACTGAACACTCGCAATTATTGTTTTATTATCGCAGTCGATTATTAAATATATAAATACTATGTTTAAAAGGATTAAAATGAAACCTTGACATATTTTTAAAGGGAATTGTTTGACAGGTTTGACAACACAGGGTGCGGTTGCAATGTTTTCATTTGTAGGGGAATTACCGTACGAGAATAAGAATTTTACCGAGAATATTCGTTTGGCGCGAAAATTCAAATTTCTAATATCTTTAATAATATTATATTATTAATAATAGAAATTATAAATTATAGAATATTATTATTATCAGTATTATATTATTTCTAACATAATTTAAACTAAACCAATAATATAAAATACAATAATCAATTAATAATTAGAAATATAATTAGCTATCTCATATGATAAATAATTAATAGTTGATATTCTGTAAATAAAATAGAAATTCAATTTAATTAACAAGTTAACATAATTTTTTTTAATTAAACAAATTAATATAAATAAAAATATAACAAAAACAGTAAAAAAATATGAGAAAATAAAAAAATTATTTTCCAATTGTAAAAGAATTAGAATTTAATATCAGATAAATTAACAAATTAATTAAAAATTAAAATAATTGTAAAAAAAATTTAATTTTTTATAATTAATCAATTATTAATTAATATATGTAATTTAGAGATAATGAATTTATTTAATTATCAAAGCAAAAGATTCTATAGTAATCTGCGCGGATTACTATTAATGATTCACTGAAAAATTCATAGAAATAATATTAAAAAAAAAATAAAAATTGATAATTTTTTTTTTTTAATTTACGACGTGATCACAACATTGTCATTTCCAAGTATAAAATATATTTATATATAAAGTTATGAAAAAATTGAGTCATAAATTTAATTTGTATTGAATAAATGAAAACTCTACTTGTCGCGCTTGTTTATCGATAATTATTCTGTTAAAATTGTAAATGAAAAATAAAATTATCATATTCATTAATAATATAATTTTCATATATAGATGAACAGGAAAATGTAGACAAAATCATTATCGGGTTGATAGTCAATAATGTCCATATTTAAGATACGGTAAACATAACTTTGGTATTGTTATCTTTTATACGTATATACAAAAGCAACAAATGAACAATTCAGTTTTTTTAAGTTACATCGACACTTTAAGATGTTTTTACCTATTTAATGTTTTATAAACGATATTTTACGTCATAGACTTTAAATATTTATTTGCAAGTGAACACACACACACACAAAATATTGATAACTTAAATGTCTTTTTTCTTGAAATAATTATTGATAAACGTGTATTTAATAAGCCACACACAATATAAATTTTAAATGTTTCCTTATATGCGTCGAAATATTTTTTTTTTCTTCAAATATATAGATTACTACCTTGACAATGCTATATATACAAAAGACTTCTCTTGATATTTAATTAGTTCACTATTGTTAACAACATAAGAAGCGTTGACATTATTTAATAGAAATTAAAGGTATATGAATGATAAATTAAAATTTACCAAAAGGGTGTTTGAAAAATGATTTTAATTAATTAAATTAATTTGCAAATTTCACAAAGAGAATAATCAATTTCATTTTTTTTTTTGCATTTCCTATGAGTATAAGGAAAAACGTATTATCTCGAAAACTTGCAGTGTAAAGACAGATTTCAAACTTCAAGCAACTGCAATAATTAATGAAAAATTAATTTTTATTAAAACCAAAAAAGAAAATAGAAAAAGAAATCAATTTAGTAGTTTTATTTTCACTTTATAATATAATAAAATTATAATTATTTTCAATATTTATAATTATATTGTAAGAAATATTTATTCAATAGATGCGTCAATTGATACTGATGATTGCAACATGTCTAACTTATGCTGTCATAATTAGTGGTCAAAGTAAGAACAAAGATATAATAATAACAGTATAAAATGATAGTAATACAATTATTATATAATAATAGTATTAAATAATAATAGTATTAAAAAAATAATAGTATTAAAAAAATAATAGTATTAAAAAAATAATAGTATTAAAAAAATAATAATAAAATCATAATATTATTAATTAATTAAAATAATTCGATTTTAAAAACAAATTGATTAATTTATTAAATGTGTAATTAAATTGAAAAATTTTCAGAAAAAGTAGTATGCTATTTTGCAAGTTGGGCGTCATATCGTCAGAATCAAGGGAAATTTGACATTTCCAAAATTAATCCATCCCTTTGTTCTCATTTAATTTATTCATTTATCGGATTAAATAATGATGGTACCATTAAAATTTTGGATCCATGGATTGATGTAACGCAAAATGGATTTAGAAATTTTAATGCACTACGAAATAAAAGTCCATCGACTAAAACATTAGCTGCAATTGGAGGCTGGGGTGAAGGTTCAGAAAAATTTTCCAAGTAAGTTTATAAATTAATTAATTAATTAATATTAAATAAATGATAAAAAGACAAAAGTCCTGATTTAACAAAAAATGATTTTTTCTTTATTATTATTATTATTATTATTACAATAAAGAAAATATAATAACAAAATTAATAAAATTTTTGGAAAATTAAATTTTGTTGTCAGAGAAATCTTAGTGTTGATTTAATTATAAAAATTTTCCAGTGTAGTAAGTAATCCAGGTTTGAGAGGAAGATTTGTTAATGAAGCGGTGAAATTTTTGAAACAATATGACTTCAATGGTCTTGATTTGGATTGGGAATATCCAGGTCAACGACCAGGATCAAGACCAACTGATAAAGAAAATTTTGTTAATTTAGTAAGGGAATTAAAAGAAAGATTTAATCGTGAAGGTCTTATTTTATCGGCTGCCGTTAATCCCACTCAATATTCCGCTGGACTTTCTTATAATATTCGAGAAATTTCAAAATATCTCGATTTTATTAATTTAATGACATACGATTATCATGGTACTGGCAATGATGGTAGGGTTGGACATAATGCTCCACTATTTGCATCGCCACAAGAATCACCTGATGAAAAACAATTGAATTGTGTAAGTATATATATACCAAAAAAAAAAAAAAATAAATAAATAAATTGTTTGCCAACTCTTCCCTTCAATTAAAAATAATTGTAATTTTAAATATAATTCCAAAAAAGTTCAATATTTACAAAAAAATTTTCAATAAGTAATTAAAATCTATGGTATATTATTTTCTTAAATTAAATAAAGTTTTGTAAATTTCCTTTACCGCTTAGTGAAAATAAAAAAAAAGAATAAGGAATATTTGTTAAAATTACTAACCAAATAAGGAAAATTTACAAATGTTTATTTAATTTTTCCAAAAAGTGTAAAATCAACTCTTAATAAATCCACTTTCCTCTATTTTTTTAAAAATATACTTTATATTAAAAATTTTACTGAATCATTTTTCTTTATATAATTTTGAATAATTAATTTTCATTTCAAAGTAATATTAATGAATAAATTAATATAAAGTAATTTTCGATTCTTTAATATAAAAAGAGGGGGAAAAAAATCACAAGAATTTTTTTTTTCTTACAGGACGCCTCTGTGAAATTTTGGATATCACAAGGTGCACCACGAGAGAAGATAAATCTTGGTACACCTTTCTATGGAAGATCATTTACACTCGCTAATCCAAATCTACATAAAAGAGGTTCACCAACAACTGGTTCAGGACTACCTGGACGATTTACAAACAGTCCTGGTACTTTAGCATATTATGAAGTTTGTGAAAATATCAAAACAAAAGGATGGAGAATAGAATACGATGCGGAACAACATGTACCATATGCTTATCAAGGAAATCAAATTGTTGGATTTGATGATGTCAAGTAAGTTCTTTTTTTCTATTTTAAAATAAAAAAATTAGCACAGTGAAAAAAATCTTTTTTTAATAAAAATTAAATCAGTAAATTTTGATTTTACTGAAATTAATTTAATTTAAATTGAAATTTTTCTATAAAATAAGAAAAATTAATTTTGGTTTGCTATTATAATTTTTAAATATTTATTTTTTCAGTTCCATAAGGGAAAAGGCACAATATGCCAAAAATAATAATCTCGGTGGCGCCATGGTGTGGAGTATGGATACTGATGACTTTAATGGAATGTGTGGAGAAAAAAATCCTCTTCTAAATACCTTAAATCGAGTGCTTCGAAATTGAAGACAATTTTTTTACTTTCATATTTATGTTCATTAATTTTTTTTTTTTTTTAATGAACCAAAAGTTTTTGAACGTTCATGTGAACGAAATTTTTTTTGCAACTTCTTAAAGTACGAATTTTATTACAAAATATTGTTTAAAATATCTAAAAAGATGTTTTATTAATTTAATAATTGTTTAATTTACTGTTTCATTTTACATGGTACGTTCAAAACTTTCAGCTCATTTTTTTTAATACATACACATACCTGAAAAAAATATATATGATTCAAATAAATATTTATTTGTATTAAATAATTATTATTTGAATCAAATAAATATTTTTTCAATTTATAGTAAGTATTTCATATTTATTTCAGTTTCAAATAAAAAAGCAAATAAAAAATATTAATTAAAGTAATTGAAAAATTTACCAAAAATATCTATATTAATTTATATATATGTAAATATTCCTCTTTGTGTTCAACTTAAAATTGTAATTTGTTATATACATATAAAAAACAAGCATTAAACTGAATTAACTTTAGTAATTTTTCATTACAACTTTTTAGATTTTAATCTAATCGTAATTTTTAATCTATCTATGTGTATAAAATATATTTTAAGCGTTATAGCCTTGGGCAAAGTGTGAATTTAGCCGAAATTAACTTGGTCACGATTGAATTTTTCATTGTCAGGTGATATTTCGTGTCATTAATTATTGTAACGTTGCACACATATATAAGCAGAGGAAAATTAATTACATGTAAATTAAAACTTGAATTAACTGAATTAAAATCTAATCAAATAAATATTCATTATATATAATCATCAATTACATCAAAATTGTATACAGAGAAAAGAAAATTCGATTTAGGGAAAAATTATTGATTTTTTTAATAACTTAAATAAAATATATTATTTTATCAAATTTTTAATCTTAACATGGAGACTATGATTTTTTTATATATTATCATAAAAGAGAATTAAAATAATTATATATAAATAAAAGATTAGTAAAAAAAAAATTCTTTATACTTTTTTATTCTAAATTTCATGAATTTAAAATTTATTCCTCTATAGAATAAACAAAACAATTGTAAAGGTGTACTAGGTGTGGTGTAAACTTCAATTATTGTCAGTGACGAACCAGCCGTTACATTTTCTTTGCAGGATAAATATGTTTGGCCCCCTTTTCCACGAATGTTATTTTCAACCCTGTTACATTTCCGGTTTTGTCGTTTAATTTGTTGAAAATCGATAAATCCTGAAGTCGCGAAGACTTAAGAGGGAACTTGTGTTCTTATCTTGATGATGAAGATAGCACAATGATTGAAATTTCTCTAACATGATAGTTTGGGACATTAGGAAACGAAATAAAAAAAAAGAAATATGTTTTAATTACATTTAAATTATATGGAATTAAATTTAAGACAAGTTTTAAAATCAGTATAGTAGTTGCTGAATTTGTAAATTATTTTTTAAAATTATGATCTTATTTATTTAATAATTTAACTAGAATTTAGAATAAAATAAAATTTAAATTCTGAACGTTTTAAGTCTTAATTTAAGAAAGAATTGTTTTAATTTCAGTTGTGTTTCTAATTTTATTACCTGTCTTTAATTCAATAATTTAAAGTTTTACAATCAATAAATAAAATCTACCTCGGTTACTACACACTAAAAAAGAAATCTTGATTTCAGCCTATTTTTGAGGCTGAATTTAAGGTGTAAACGGAGTCAGACCAATTAAAAAAGGACAGACTTATGCAAAATATATGGGCTTAATTTAAGGTGTAAACGGTTTAAGACTTTGTTTTTACTGTGTAAAAAGAATAATGTTTTATTTTAAGACAAAAAAGAAAGCTTATTTTAAGATTTATACCATTTTTCAGACTTATCTTAAAATAAAATTTTCCATTTACTGTGAGAAAATTAGCAAAAGTTGCGTCTTAAAATATTTCAATATTATAAGACTCTTTTTCCCCTTAAATTAAGATTTTATTCTTTTCAGTGAAATGGAGGCTTAATTTATTCGAATTTGATATTAAAATAAGAGTAATGCAACTAATTTTAGTTCAAGGGAGTAAAACGTAAATCGTATTTTAAGATGAATCGAAAATTAAGCCAGTTTATCACCTGTCTGAAATTCAGTTTTAAATCAGTAAATAAAATCTGTCTAGGAATTCAATATAAAAGCTGATTTAAAAATGTTGCAACTTTGAAATAAGACATCATTTTTCCTTAAAATAAGATTTTCCTCTTTCATATGGAAAACAAAATTTCCACCTGAAACAGCGATATGTTTTACTAAAAGAGCAAAAGTTTTTGCTATTTCAGCTAAACTTATCGCTGTTTTAAATAAAAAAATTTTTCCATAGGTAAAATCACATCAAATTTAATTTTAAAATAAGAAATCCAACATAATTTTCCTCAATATCCCAAACTTGAACTTCATATATGTATATATATGTTTAATAAATCAAGTGATAAGTGACGGGGAAATTTTCTCCCACCTTGAAATAAGTCAATGTCAACTGAATTCGTCAATTATATGCATAAAAATCTAAGTTCAAGACCTAGTGGAAGGAAAGACGAAAGAGTTTCTCTCTATATATCATAAAAGAAAAGAGAGCGCGCAGGCTTGAGCAAGACATATATGAACCTAAAACCTAAAGTTAAAACCTTTTCAACCTTCTTCACCTCTCCAGGTACACATATATAAAAACCAATACATATGTACATACAGGAAAAGTTTTTGTGTATAGTCAAAGGAGGGGGGGGTTTGAGTCTAGTCACGCGAACCGTCGTGTAGCAGTCGGGTTCGGAGAACCGCGGTTGTATTGCTTCCGAGGCCAATCAGTCAGTCTTGCAGAATGAAGTACACGGCATGGATGGTTGTCGCGCTTCTTCAGGAAATAATTTTCCTTGGATTAATTCCTCACAATGAATCACAAAGGACACACGCACGTCAGGGAATTGTTCGCGAGCCACCAACAGTTAGGATACCTGGACAGGGTGTCCTCGTCGGAAAGGAGGTGCGGATAACGCGTGATGACGCCTCCTCAGATTTTCTTGCGTTAGAGTGCATTGCATTTTATTCTTTCGCCTCACTGTTCGCACGGTAAATATTATTTACTTAACGCGCAGTCAATAATTCCACCCCTCCCCCAACCCCTATTTTTTTTTTGTTTTTTATTTCCTCCCCCCTTTTTTATTCTTTCAAATCGCATATATTTTTCAAAATCTCGAGAAAAATTGATACAATTAATTATTAAATGAAAATAAAAAATATATTTGAAACTTTCCATTCAGAGAAATATTTTATTTGAAACAAATATAATATATTTGAATTAAATAAATTTATATTTGTCTCACAGCCAACTATTCCATTATTTTTTTGGAGTAAATAAAAATTTTATTTGCAATAAATAAATAATTATTGGTAATAGATAAATAATTATTTGCAATAAATTAATAATTGTTGATAACAAATAAATATTTATTTGCAAGAAATAAATATTTATTGATATAACAAATAAATATTTATTTGCAATAAATAAATAATTATTGACAACAAATAAATATTTATTTGACTCTGAGACAACTATCATTATATCTTTTCTCTGGATGGGTAAAAAAAAATTTAGAACAGACAGGAATATTTTTTTTAAAATGTTTCATGCACTCGATTATACCTCCGAGAATTTTATTTCCCTAAGTATTTTTTTTTTGTTTTTTTTATTAAAAAAAATTATATATTTTGACAACAAAACATTGATGTACTCATTTTTGACAGTCGCAAGAAAATTTGAATTATAATCAACTTTTACTAATTCGATAGTAAAAAAATGTTTTCCACTATTAGTTAAATTTGACTAATTCAAAAGCAAGAACTGAGTCGACAATTTAAAGGAGTTAAAATTTTTATTAAATAAAATTTAGAAGGAATTATTTTTTTTTCAAATTTATTTTTAAAAAAAAAATTAGCAGTCATATTCTTAATTAATTTAAAAATCATCTTAATATTTAAAAAATTTTTATCTCTATAAAATTTTAAACAAATTTTAATTTTTAACTATATATATAAAAAATTAACTATTTAATTTTGTTCAATTAAGCAAAAAAAGTATTAGAACAAACCAAAAAAAAGTTTTATTATAAATAAATGTCATCAAAATGTTTTGTTGTCAAAGCAAAATATTTTTGACAAGTGAATAGAAAAAATCAAATCAGAAATAAGTAAAAAAAAAAGAATTTTTAATTATAATAAATAGAGCAAAAATAAAGAAAATTGATAGAAGAAAAAAAAATGTAAAGTATAACAAATAATTCAAAAAATAAAAAAAAATTGAAAAATACAATTATAATTAAATTAAACATTTTTGTATAAAAAAAACCTCCCTTCTTTGGAATAATTATCGTTAAATAAATAAATAATATTTTTGTTATATAAAATCAAATATTTTTTTGAATACAAAAAATTTCTCTGCACATCTTTTGTCATTCTCCCTCATATCATATTATTTTTTAATTTTTGTCATTTTTTTTTTTTTTTAATATTAAAATGAACAATGCGCTTAAAATTTTTCAATCACGCTTCACACACGCTTCTTTTTTTTTTAAATCACATTTTTCCGTCTATTCTCATAGTTATTTTGCGTTCACTCTGGTCGATCACTTTTTGTGTGTATATATATATATATATATATATATATATATATATATAAATACAGTTTTGTTTCAATACGTGAAAGCTATGATGGGAATAAATGTTATCGGGTTTATCCTCAATATGAATAGAAAGTGTATCAGATTGTTATAGATTATAATACAGAAAGGATATAATATGCAAAGTTTGTTTAAATGGCACTTTTTTATTGTACTTTAAGAATAACTTAAAAAGTAAAAAGAATATATAATATATAATATATATATATATTTATTATAATAAACGGTTGTATTTTATACATGATTTTATTCTTTTTCAAACAAACTTTTTTATTGTCTACTTAAAAATTCAAATTTTCTTTTTAATGATTATCCTTTGTGGTTTTTCATTCAAAGTTAGTTTTACATTTTGAATAATAAATTACATAAAGGTAAATATTTTTATAGTTCATAGAAAGGGAAAAAAACTATAAATTTGAATATTTTTTTACGGTAAAGAAAAATGTACGCAAAAATAAATAATAATGGGAAAAAAAAGTGAGTTAATAATAAAATTGTATAACAAGTTAAAGTATTTTAAAGGTAGATTTTTATCAGTTTACTTGTAATTTTTTGATTTAATGAAGTAAAAACTGGAGGTTAATGTCCTCTGGTTCATTTTAAAAATAAATAACTCTCGTAAATATTATACTATTGAAAATAGTATTTTTAACACGTTAAATAATGTTTAATAATTTCCGGTTAAAGAATGAAAATAATTTGTTATTATAATATATAAAAAAAAAATATCTATCCTTTCTCAAAAAAATTGCTATTCAAACAAACTTTAAACATTTTTATTGTTTAGAAATTATTTTTTCGACAAAAAAATTATAAAAATATATTTGCATAATAAATTTCATTTGTAATTATTATGTAATAATTATTATATATATATATATATATATATATATATATATATATATATATATAATTAATTGTAAATTATTATAATTATAACTATTATTTAATTACAATTAACTATACATAATATTGTAATAATTATTTATGTTAATTAATAAATATAAATTAATAATATAATTTCTCAAACATGATAATTTTAAGAGAATATATAGTTATTATTCATTAAAAAAAATTAAAACAAAAGTAATTTGATAAACAAGGTCGATAAACCACATTTATTACCTTCAAGTTATTCATGCATTGAATTTCAATAACAGAAAATGTACATTAAATATGGTTATTCTTTTACTTAAATATAAATATTTATCCAAAATTTTAAAAATGAATATCAATGTAATAAAAAAAAAAATTACAATTACATTGCCAAAATTAAAAAAAATAAAATAAAATTTTTCACATCTAGAAAAGTACTATAATTACAAAATAAAACATATCCTTGGCCAAAAATAAATTTATCCGGTTTATTCGCAGTTTCTCACGGTGGACAAAAGAAAGGTACAATTACGCGATAGTTGATGAAAATAAAATATAAATAGAAAACGGGTCGCATTAACTTTTCCACTTTTTTCTCCTTTGTTTACAGTTTTTTTTTTTTTTTTTTTTTTTTTCTTCAAATTGATGACAAAAATAAAAAATAATAATATATAAAATTTGCAATTAAAAAAAATTGTTTTAGCTAATTAAAATAAACGGATTTTTTTTAATCGTACTTTAAAGTATCGATGGTTAAACAAATTAGATAAATAGAAAATTAGTTTTTAAATCGTGATTGTCGCAATGCACAACGATTCGATTAAAAATGGGGACATCTGCCTTATGGGTATATATATATATATATATATATATAAAAAGAGGAATAATTTTCTATTATTTTTCTTGATCGAAAAGTAGGCTAATTAACTTTTGTTCGCTCGTTGTTGACTTCTGTATAAGAAATCTGAGAGGAAATCAACTAGAACTTGAGAAAAGAGAGCAAAACAGATTTGATATAGATGCTCTAGAAAAACGGGTGTGGTGAAAGGAAACAGAATCAGTGTATATTTTATACGCATATAAATATTATGTAAAAAATAAATTAAAGACATAAATATTTAATTAAATAATTGTGATATCTAATGACAAAAACCAAAAAAAAAAAAAAAAATATTTTTTTCCAAAACAGGTCTTGAGCAGAACAACAAGGGTAATTGTTTACCTTGGCGTCCCTTACGCTCAGCCACCAACTGGACCTTTGAGGTTTTCTGCTCCAGTTACAGATCCACTTCCTTCATGGCATGGCATTAGAAATGCCTCTCAATTTGCACCATCTTGTCAACAAATAACATCGAGAAGAAAGTTGTATGAAAAATTATATATGCGATTATTGCCACAGGATCTTCCAGATCCTGGTCTCAGCGAAGATTGCCTCTATTTGAATATTTTTATACCTGACGGTAAGTTATACTTTAAATCACTTATCAATCAATTCTATATGATTATAAAAACTTTCCAAAAATAAAAAATTACACTTTTCAAACTAAAAAGCAAATAACTACTTATTCGACTTGAAAAATGTTTTACAATAATAGAAAATCAGGTCAGAATGTGTTTTTTTTTCCTTAAATTAAGACAAATTTTTTTTTTTTTTTTTCTTAAATTATTTCAGAAAAAAAATATATTCCTATTTTTTTAATTACGAATCATTTTTTGAATTTTAAAACAAATTAAGAAAAGTTGTTACTTAAAAATTATTCATCATTTTATCGTATTGTCCTTAATATAAGTCAGGATTATTTATACAAAAAGCTTTTTCAACTTTTCTTTTCTAATATATATAATAATACTTTTTCTATATACGGAGGAAGGTTGAAGAGAATTATAATTTATTATATCGCGTGACTTATTGTATAATAAAATTGCTCAGAAATTTTCTCTGCAGCAAAGAAGGAGTGCTAGTATGTATGTAAACGCATGATTAAAATTTAGTGCAGAAGTTGTGTTATCCTTTTAGAAAAATCATTTAACGATTGCTTCAAAAAGCACGTAAATTTCATTCTTCCTCTCTTTAATAAATTCGCTAATATTTTAATTTTGAACTCAATTTCTTATATTCTTAACATTTCTGTTTGTTGAATATTCATTTTTTTTTCCAGGTGATAAAAATTCTTTTTCTTACACATAAATCTTATTTTATATCGTTTAAAAAATATACTATTTTTCTTATAAATTTACTAAATTAAATATTTTTTAAACAAATTAATGAAAATTATTTAAAAATGAATTATTTTTCAATGGATTGTAAAAAAAAAAAATTAATAATCAAAAAAGAGTGATAGTTTTTACTTACACAGAAAATTAAAAGGCATTAAAATAAGCTTATTATTTTAATCCAATTTTGCTTATTTTAATACCAAAATGGATTAAAATAAGTAAAATTGGATTAAAATAATAAGCTTATTTTAATACCTTTTAATTTTCTGTGTATTTCTGAAACAAAAATTAATTACTTTTCTATAAATTATTATATCGACTATAAAACGTTTTCTTTATGAATGTTCCTTTTTTTTCACAGCCATTTTATATCTTTAAATGACATCAATTTATATTTGAAAAATAAGCGATAAAAATGAAGTTATATTTAACCGACAATCTTTCCAGTGAGTAAATTTTAAAGAACCATAACATGCAATGTCAAAAGTTTAAAAAAAAAAAAAAGTATAACATAATATAAATTTGATCCCCAACCTTTAAAAGTATTTTTTGTCCCCAAATTTTCATTCTACATGAGGGGAAATATACATGAGGTCAAATCATAATAAAAGATTTTTATCATTATATAATGAAAGAAAAAAACTTTAATTCATAACATGACTGTTTTTAAATGATGGCAATAAATATCTAGAAAGATTAGGAAAAAAAACCATAATCCTAAAGTACTTTATAATAGTAGCATATATAGTTCTTTGATTCGCGTGAATGATTTTGAGTCGTATTCAAAAAAAAAAAAAAAAGTTTATTTGGAAAAAGTTGCATTTTTTAGTAGAAAAAAATAAAAGTAGGCCATGAAATGAAATAACAATGCAGAGATTCAAATAGCTCATAATAATTGAAATTTAAATATACGCACGTAAAGAATTTCAAGATATTTTCTTATATCGATTAAAAAAAATTTTTACATTTTTTTTTTCCTCTTATGAATCATTTATTTTTATAAAAAAAAAAATGGAAATTCTATTGGAAAATTAGAATTTATTTTTTCAATAATGAGAGAAAGAAAAAGGATGTATTTTTTTGCATAAATGCAAAAAATAAAATGTGGAAGTGAAAAAAAACACATTAATTTTCTCTTCTTTTATGTACAATTTAAAATTCTGCAAAAGAAATATAAGTTAAAGCTAATAATTCACTGGTTGAGAGATGAAGCCAAGAATTAGAATGATTGCCATGAGGTGTGTCGAAAGGTGCCATGTCAGAAGCTCTTCACGCCATAAAGAAAAATGAAAGTACCTGGCACTACCATCAGGGTTAGTCCCCATAGTTTTTTTTTTTTTTTTTTTATAAATTTACCATTAATTATCATAAATAATACTTAAATGTCTTTGAGATAAATTTTATTCTACAGAATGACAACAAAAAACGACACATAACTAACATTTCAAATCTAAATCATCCAAGCAAGGTATTAAATCAAAAGAGAGAGTAAAATTATAAAAAAAAGAAACCATAAAATTAATTTTATTTTAAAAATTCTTTTTCGAAAAATAATTCCCATTAATAGTTTTCCCTTAATTTCATATATTTTCATAAGAAATTAATTAAATTTTCCCTCCATAAGAATTTGCATAAAAAATTGTCTATAGAAAAAAAAATAAGACTATCCGCAAAAGTGAAACAAAAGAACTTTTTTCAAAGTTGATGAGAGAAAAATAAAAAAAATCGAAATTATCATCACAAGGTAGAAAAAATTATACATCAGCAAAGAAAAAAGAAAAAAAAATTGGAAAAGTAACCTAGGTCTGGGTGTTTTATGACCTTCAAAGGGGGGGGGGGGTTGAAAAAAAGGGAAGAAAAAAAATTTCACAATGGGCAATGGGACACAGGAAGAATCAGAGGGGGGTTTAATCACGCATTGGAACCCAACGTTATACCAGGTCGATATATAAGTAGTAACAGAAACAGTAACTGGTGCACGCGGTGGCACGCGATCTTCTTGGCTCATATACACACAGTACATAAGGGGAGCTGATGTCGAGATACGGGACACCAGTCACGAAAATTTACTTTTTGTTCAACTCAAGAGTAAAAGAGTAAAAGAAAGAGACAGAGAAAGTCAAATAATTTAAAGCATAATGTAAAATGTCCATCCTAATCTTCAAAAATTAAACAAAAAACTCTGACCATATATATATATACTCGAAAAAATCTAGCGAGAGACTCAGATAAATAATAATGGTAATTTAAAATATCAGCTCAATCTGACCATTATTTCTCATCTTCCGGAGGTCAAGGTTAAATCCCATACAACAAATTAAGGTCACAATTTGAAAAAAGAAATAATAATTTATTCCCTTTTTCAAAATGAAATTTTTTTTCAGTGAAAAAAAAAATTCATTTTTTTATATATCTTTTTTCAAAATTTTCTAAAATATTTCGCAATTCATTTTGAAAATATAATATCTGTTTTATTTTCATTCTTTTGGAATATTGTATAGAAATATATGTAAATAGATGGAAGAATACAATCGAATTTGATAAAAAAAAAATTTTTTTCCTTTGTAAAAATATTTCAAAATTTTAAATCGTATAAAAATTATTAAATTTTTCTTCTGATTAAATAATATTTGGCAAAGATCCACTGAGGCGTATAGAAGATAAAGTAAAAAAAAAAGTTTTATTTCCCGAACAAAAATTAAGATCGAGCCAACTTTCAAAGTTTTATAACTAAATTTAGTAGATATTTCAAGTTTCAAGTGTTGAACAATGAAATTTCAATTAAAACATCAAATATTTGTGTTTAAAAACAATTTCAGTATTTAAAGAATTTCATTGTTTTAAATTCATAAAATTTATTTTGAAAATTCAATTTTTTAATTTAATTTTTAAAATAAAAGAAATATTAGAAAAAAAAAATAATTTTACTAAGAAAATTATTCACCTGTTACAGTTATATTTTATTTTTCTAATATTCGCTGTTTTAGAGAAATATTTTTTTTTTTACTAATAAATCTTTTAGCTGCGTTTCAAATATGATAAATAGAGAAATGCAATCTTTTACGCTTATTTGCCTGATAATACACTTTTCCTCCTTCCGCGAAAAATTCTCATGAATTTCTAACTAAAAAAAAAAAAACCAACATAAAAGTATAACAAGAAAACTAATCAATCAATTTGATTTAAGTATCCTTCAGAAGAATAATTATTATTCATTTTGAATTCCGGCTGAGTCATAGTTTATTCAAGCGAAGGTTTTCTTTAGTTAGTTTTCTAATTTCTTGATGCTTTATAGTTATACATAGTTGAATAATAAGGACAAAAGTGGCGATTTTAAGTGGTCTTATCGTTTCATGTCACGTTTCGTATATTTAATATGATTTTAGTTGAAAAGTGCATTAAAAAAAATATTAGAATCAATATTGTTATCTTATTTTGATTAAATCATACACATCCAAAAAAAAACAGTTTTCTTTAATTAACAAAACATTTATAAAAGTCAAAAATTGTTTTGAAATTTAAAATAAAGTTTGAAAATTAAATATAAAAAATTAATTTAGTTTAAAAATTAGTTGAATTTTAAATTTATAATAACGAAATATTTATTTATGTTAAATAAACTGTTTTCTGTGTGGAATAATAAATAATAATTGTATATTAATAAATAAATTAATAAGTTTTTAATTAATTTAGGAACACGACCTCCCGATGGTTGGCCAGTAATTGTGTGGTTTCACAGTGGAGATTTTAATACGGGCACACCAGCAATTTGGGATGCATCAGTTTTCGTCACCAAGCAAAAGGTCAAGTTCATAGTACTTAATGTTTTCATGGTATATAATGTATATGCAGTATATTAGTCTCTGGGGTTTTTTTTACAATGAACTCTAAGTTAAATGTCGATTACGTGTCATTAAGTATAAAAAATTACAAAGGGCATGTCAATGCATTTCGAACGATATGCAAGGTCACTGTCTGACCTTGTAGTCAACATCTCGCGAATATTTTCACGACACACGAAATCGCTTCTTGTTAATCAAACCTATCGACTTTTTTTTGCTGATTGAATTTTATTTTTAGTTTTTTACGCTGCTAAAACATCTTTTTTTTTTTATTTCATTTCATCACGATTTCAAATATCCTGCTATTTCTATTATTCAATTTTTTTTTTTTAAATTTTACAGTTTGTGATTCGAATTTATAGTTTACCTACAAAATTACAAATTAAATCAATTTAACAAAATTTATATTCAATTAAAATTTTTTTAATTTAAAACTTTTGAGAAATATTTGAAAATTGTTTTCAATTTCATTTTTAACTTACATTTCAAATTCCAGCCGTTTAATTTTTTTTTTAAATTTCATATTTATATTCATTAAATTGACGAGAGAGAATAAATAGCAAAGTTATATACTTTGAAGTAGGGCACAATAGAAAAAAAAAAGAAAAAAGAAAGGAAGTCAGTGAACGCATTTTACAACAGATTGCATAAACAGTTCGTAAGAGGTATTACATGCCTCATTTATGTTAATCTTTTCTTGAACAATTTCAATTAGCATCAGAAATGAAGAGAAAAAAAGTAGAAAAATCAAAGTTTTAATTCAAATCTTGAATCACTATGATAAAATAACAAATATTCATTTCTGGGTCAAAAAAGCTAAAGTCAATTAAATAAATTAATCACTGATAAAATAAAATGTAATTTAAATTAAGTTAACTTTACAATCTTTTACGATTTTAATATTATCCCCCAAAAATCTACTTCCCCTAATGTAAAGTTTATTTAAATTCAAATAACTATTTACAAATTTTTCATTTACATAATTTCCTTTTTTTTTATCTAATTATTACATCAACAAAAGATCATTTACTATTTAATCTTTTCTTAATTTTATTTTAATTTTTATGTTTGTTCTTATTTTCTACATTTCTAATTAACAAAATTGCAATTTTTTTTGAATGAATTGAATTACAAAAATAAAAAAAAAAATTTTATTCCACAGGTCATAGTCGTGACTGTTGCCTATCGTCTCAACATTTTTGGCTTCTTCACGACAATGGATGGAGAAGCGCCAGGAAATTATGGAATGCGAGATCAAATAGCGGCTCTCGATTGGGTGAAAAACAAAATAGAACTCTTTGATGGTTCCTCATCAAATATTGTGATCATTGGCCATAGTGCTGGAGGAATTAGCGTTGGCCTACACATTTTAAGTCCCTTAAGTCGTGGTAAATTTACAAAAGCTATTATTCTCAGTGGCGATGCAATTGGCTCTGTACGGACTCCCGATCAAGAAGCATCGATAGTTGATTTTATAACCGAAAAATTTGGCTGCAATCGTTATCCAACAACCGATCTTATGATATGTCTTCGTCGAGCAAGTGAAAAAGAATTATTAAAACACCTCTCCGATATTGAGACATGGGGTCCAATTCTCGATAGGGATACAAATAATTCATCTGATCCATTTTTACCCATGGATCCAAAAGATTTACTAAACAGCGGTGGCTTCACTGCTGTGCCTCTTATCACTGGATTCACAAATAATGAACAAGCATTAAGTTACATTGAATCAATTGGCAGTGAAAATGTCGATGGTCGTTTGAGTTTAAATAAATTTGAAGAAATGATTAGATATGATACTGAATCAGAAATTGGATTACCCGATGAGAATGATACCTGTCAATCAAAACCGGAAATTGTCTCAGAAGCAGTTTTATTTTATTACAAACCACATCCACCAACTAAGGATCAAACAATTTTACGTGATCGTTTTCTTGATTTACAAACAGAAAAAAAATATGCCGCCGGTTTAACATTCTTGGCGGGTAAAATAGCTAAACAAGAAGAGGCCTATGTTTATCGATTTGATTATCGACCAAAAACAGAAGTGGTATCGCGCGATGTTCCTAAATGGGCCGGTGTACCTCATATGTTTGAATTACCATTTGTCTGGGGTCTTCCCTATTCGATTAACACTAATATTCAATGGAATCCAGCTGATAAAAAAATGTCCGAAAGTATGATGGCAATGTTGGCAAATTTTGCACGCTCTGGTAATCCATCATTACCAACTGTCAAATGGGATCCCTATACCGAGAGAAATCCAGGACTTTTAATAATCAAGGATATTAAATCAGAGATGAGCGATTGGAAGGTCATTGATTATAAAGCATTGGCTTTTTGGAATGATTATTATCCAACAGTTGTTTATGAAGCGACACATATTTGTTGCAATATGACAAGTGGATCATCGAGTCAGAAATTTTCCATTTTTTCTGGATTCACTCTTTTCATTGTCTTACAATATTTTTAAAAAAACAATTTCCAAATTCTATGCAAAATTTTAGATTTTTGTCATCTAAAAAAAAAAAAAAAGAAAATTAGCTAAATTTCGAGATTTTTACCTTCCAATTTCTAAGAAAAATTTAATTTAAATTTAATAAAATTGCAATTGCCATAATTAAAGAAAAAGCAGACAAAATTAAATACAAATCTCAGCACTTTCATAGAAAAAATATCAACATTTTCAAAAAAGCTTTCACATTCGATATTTTTTGTCAATTTTATGACGTCGAATGTTTATATTTTCAACAAATTTCAATCTTTTTTAATCTTACATATAAGAAATGAAAAATTACAATATTATTGTCCATCTCCCAAAATGGGAAAGAAGAAGAAAGTCACTTTCGTTAAGTGGCTTTGTAATAACAAAAACCCTTGGAATCAGTGAATAGTCTAGTCTTTTTAAAAAAAAAATTGTAAATGGAGAAAAAATACGTTTATAACAAAGAAAAGGTTAAAAAAAAAGAAAAAAAAACAAAAAAAAGAGATAATGTAAATAAGTATAGTAAAATGTGTGTGAAAAATAGAAACAAGAATAGGTAGTAAAAATGTGTGAAATGAAAATCAAGAATAGTTAGTAAATGTGTGTGTGTGTGTGTGTGCAATAGAATCAAGAATACGAATGAATCTTTTTAACAGTGACTATATAATTATAGTATATATAATATTTCAAAACGATTTTCTATGAAAATGTTTTCTTTATTAAGAAAAAAAATCTCCGACAAACTTAACCAAGTCTAAAATTGCAATATAATAACTTGTTTAAGTTTGTAGAACAAAAAAAAAAAGAATTGTCCGTAAATATAAAATATAGCGTGTGTGATATGACTATAATAAAGTGATGCTGAATTAAAACAAAAATATTTTTAGGTGAATAAACAGAAACACTTTTAAATAGTCAATTATTCACGAATTTTTGCAGTGAAATGATGCATTTTATTAGAAAGAGTGTGGTGCTCGCGCGCATTAAACAAGTGAAAAGATCAATTTTCTCTTGCACAATAAAAAAAAAAAACGAATTCTCATCGAATATCGACGAAGAATCTTCTACAGGTTAAATATATATATATTTATATTATATATATAGTGTCCAGCTTGTTGTGTCACGCAGTACAAATTAAAATTCGTAGAAAGAATTGTTCTTTTCTGTTCAAAAATTTTTTTTTCATTTTTTTTTTTTTTTGCCTAAAAACATTTATTATATTTCAAAAAACGTATAATATATGGTATTTAAAAAACATACATCATGAAAAGTACTTTCCTGAATATGCCACTATTTTAATAAGTTCGTAAATTCAGATCTAAACATCGACGAAAATTGATTTTCGGGAGATCTTGTTTAATTTTATTTATTTTCATTATTTTTAAGGGAAGAGAGATCAACCGCATTCGTAACATTTAATAAAAAAAAATTTTTTTTTTTTATTATTATTTTGTTTTAATATTGGAGAGATATAGAAAAAACATTTTTTTTTGTTTTGTTTGAGAAACAAACGGTTGATAACTTATGAATATTTTTGACGCATCGATAATAATAATAATAATAATAACGATTAATTAATAATAATAATAATCATCATCATCAATGTATGTATCGTCTATGTATAATTATTATATTATATATAAGAGAGGTGCGCGGCGAACAATTTCATGGGGGCTGGTGAGCCAACGCACGCGCACATCCAAACATTTTATTTCTCCTCTTTTTTTTTCTTCTTCATCATCATCTCCTAAATATATATAATATTAATTAATCATCTTTTTTTTCTTCTTTAATGCAAAACTCCTACAGTGATAATCGAGTGTCTCGGGGCCAGTTTTACTCTTTTTTTTTTGTGCGCAGTTGTTTGCGCGTGCCAGGCGAAACCACCCCGGGACTAACGTATATACAATAATATTCAACCCTCTCGTTCCATTTTATTCTCTTATAGTCGTCTATTCTTGCTTTACAGCCATCATACGCTTTTTTATAACCCCCCCCCTCCCTCCCACCCTATCAATTGTTATTCATCTTTTAATTCGTTATCAGACCCCTTTTACTCTGCTTTGTGGTTTTTTTTTCTTTCACTAATTATCCTTTTGTTTTATTTTTTTTTTGCATTTACCCTCACCAACCACTGGTATCTCCTTCGGATTATTTTACGAGAGAACATGGCCTAGGCCATTACTTTACAACAGTAGGCACACCGATTTCTTTTTCTGCTTTATCTTTTTCTCCGGTGACTTTTTGTTGATTTGTCGCACCAGGTCGTAAAAGATCTAAAAATAAAATAATTTCAAATTAATAACAATAATAATGATAGTAAATATTAACATTTTGTAAGTTAAATAACAAACTGTCAATAATTATACAAATTTATGTAACTGAGAAATATAATTCAATTAATTAAAATTTAGTAAAATATTAACAACTCTTTTTAAATTAATTTAATTTATACAAATTGGTAATTCATAAGATTTTGTCAAAAAAAAAAAAAAATATATTCTGGATTTTTTAATTTCAATTTTCAGGAAATAAAATCGTCTGTAGTAAATTTACATTAAGTCAGCGTTTAAAAATATTTGCTTTACTTTGCAATAATTTCTCTTATCACTCTCAATAACATCAATTAACGATCATTTCCTTTTTCAAAGTCTTTTAATTACGTATTCCGCCCGCACACAAATATTTACATTATTTCATTAAATTTAACTTCAAAATTAATCTCTTCTCAACAATGAATTATTCATGTTCAACTCTTTCTTAACTAAATATTGAAAATTATATCCAAATTATAAAAAATTCTCATTTAACATCATTTTTATAAAGCAATAAATGTGATCGAAAATTATATTTTCTTTTTTTTTTTAATAAATGAAATACCCATTTTTTTAAATTATTAAGATGACGCTGAAGTTACCAACGTTGATTCGACGAATCAACGAACGAATTTTTCATTTTCAGATAAGTTTAAAGGTCAAGAAACAATTTTTTTAAATTGAAATTTCTTTATTTTGGTCCCAAATACATCCTTAAACACTAAAAATCTTCAATCAAGGCGGAGAAATATTCAATCTTAGGAAAAAAAAAAAAATTCTTTTCGTCGATACAACATTGGTAACTTCAGTGTCATTTATTAAGAAAATAATTATTTAATAATTAATTAACGGCAAATAAAAATTTCTGGAAAAATCGAAAACGATTAATTGACCAGACAAATATTGTAGTTCATTATAATGAACTACGTGATGTAAATAATATATATATATATATATATATATATATATATATATGTTAAAGTTAAAATAATGAATTATAAATGTATATTTGATACATATACATTATACTTACATCAACAACATTAATTTTGGCTTTGGCAGAAGTCTCCATAAAGGCGCAATTGAATTGCCGGGCAAGGTTGACGCCCTGGTCTTTGCCCACTACCCTCTCATCTTCCAAATCACATTTGTTTCCTACCAACACCATTGGCACATCATCCGTGTCTTTTACCCGCAGGATTTGTTCCCTCAAGTCTTGGAGGTCGTTAAACGTTGACTGTGCCGTTATCGAATACACCAATACAAAGCCTTGGCCATTTTTCATATAAAGGTCCCTCATGGCTGTGAATTGTTCCTATCATGAGAGAAACATTATAATTAATGACAGTTACATCACTTCTCTAAATAAAAATTAAAATAATATACAAGTAAATAAAATTTTTTTTTTTATATATAAAATACTTATCCAGGCGCAAGAATCAAATTAACCTTTTCATTCTTTCATTAAATTTTACATATTTATATTATCAATCAATTATGTCTCTTATCATTTCCGGAAGAAAAATTATATTTACAAGAATCAAACATATTTGTATTTAGTTAAATATATTTAAAAGTCAATTAATTTTGATCAAATTTTAATGTATTGTAAGTTTTATATTATTTATTTTCCTGACAATTTTGATTTTTGAAAAAATTTTAATTTATTTCAAATCAATTAAAGTATTTTACACATAAAATATTAATTAAATTGAGTGCCAAAAAGAGAATAAATTTTTTTTAATCTTTAATTAATAAATAATATTTGTTATTTTCAATTATAAATAATTTAATTAATTTCCTTCAATTCGAATAAATAAATGAAAAAAAAACAATTGAAAAAATGTAAAACAAGTTTAGTTAATTGAAAGTAACATTTGAAATGCAATCAATTGAAAATTAAATTAATTTAAAATCACAATCAATAAAAAATTTAATTAAAAATATAATGGCGAAAAAAAACAGTGAAATTAGTGAAAAAAAAATAAAAACAAGTGTTTCTATATTCCTCGAAAGTAGTCGTCAATCTACTATAGAGAACAAACGGAGAAAAAGAAAAAGTGGATCTCAAATGTATAAAAAAGCATTTGTCGCTCCATCGTAGAAGGAGATGAGTGAAAAGATTTTTGCAAAGCGTCTGTGTAATCAAAAGAAAAAGGACATATCGTATATAAATCAAGTTGAAGTATAAGAACTGACCGTTCCGGCTGTGTCTAGAATTTCCAGCATACATTGTTGTCCATCGACCTCAACTTGCTTACGGTAACTGTCTTCTATGGTTGGATCGTATTTTTCGACGAAAATTCCTTGTACAAATTGAACAGTGAGGGCAGATTTACCAACACCTCCGCTGCCCAGTACCACTATCTTATATTCACGCATCTCTCTCTCACTCTCTCTCTCTTTCTCTCTCTTTCTTTGTCTTATCTAGCTATCTGCCTCGTATCACAGCCAAGGGGTCACCGAATCCTCCTCGTCTTGTTCTTTTTCACTTTCAGCGAGATAGATCTGAAAACATTTATCATTTGTTAAATATATATTTCACCATCAATAAAAATCTGAGGCATGCTATATAGAATTACATAGAATTTTAAAAATGAAAACCAGAAAAACATGCAAATAAAAAAAAGAAAAATGAAACCAAAAAAAAATTCACAAAACTTTAATAAAATTAAAAAAAAAAAAAAATTATAATAATATATAATTGAATGAAAAAACCAGTAAGGATGTTTTGAATGAAGCGGAAAAAAAAATTGGAATTGATTTGGATAGACAAAAAAAAGAATTTCAATTCATAATAATAATAATAGGATAAATAAAAAAATGGAAATAACTCACTTTGTATAAATGAATTGTTTTTTGCAGGATCTTGGTGAGGAAAAAAGAAAGAGATAATTTCTAATATTCTCTTTAATAGAGGATGTGAGTAGGATTCTTAGTTCTTCGAGACAATTAATTGTTTAACTGAGAAATTAGTGAACTCCGGTAGTAAATTCGCAATGCTTCGTTGAGTGAAATGAATGATGAGTAATCATTTAATATTTAATAAAACTTGTCTGGTCACGAATTATCAAAAATATTTTTCTCATTCAATCGTTATATTAATATTATTAAATTAAATAAATAATAATAATAATTTTAACGATTTAAATATCCGATTACATACCGAAATAATTTACATAAATGACACCGTTCGCGAAATCAAGTGATCGGAGAAAAAAAAGGACACTGGTTGTTGTTTTTTTTTTTTTTTTTTTATTATTTTGCATGAGCCAAATCTTACCGGCAGTGGTTCGAGATTAATTCAGCTTTTGACCGTTTATCGATTAACCCTTGCGCGGGTACAAAGATCCGAGGTGTGCAAAGACGTTGAACCTTCGCCACTTGGGCAAAAAATTAATTAGGCCAACTTTACTGCAGTGGTCGTTTGATAAAACGATTCTAAATCCCGAAAACTTTCGAGTTTCAAATACGCTGAAGAAAAATATAAATAAAAGCATACAAAAAAAAAATTCATTTTTTGAAAATGCATCACAAAATGGTCAAAATTACAAAAAAAGATTAGTAAAATTGGTTTATTAAAACAAAAAATCCGCGGAATATATTTTACTAAACGTTTTTTGCGTACAATTTTGAAAAAATAATACATTATATACAAGTACAAAAGTAAAAAAAAAAAGTACAAAATACAAGTACAAGAACAAAATACAAAAATATATATACAAATATAAAAAATACAATTCTCTTACAAAATATAATGCGATAAAAATGCAGATAATAATTTTTGTGCATAAATTGGAAAAATAAAAAAAACGAGTGGCAGTGAATTATTAAATATTTGTTGAAAAGTAAAAGCTCAAGCTTTCACCGCGCGCGTCACACGCAAGTAACGATAATGATCCATATTTTTAAATGTCAAAAGCATTACAAGCATTAATTTCCACCACAGCTGGTTGAATATTATAGAAGGCTTTTATTTACTATGTACTAGTCTAATAATACCGGTTTATTCAAAGTATGAAAGGTAAAAATTAATTTTAGAATCTGACTCAAACGTTTATATTCAAAAAAATTTCTACAACAATAACGTCGTAGGCGAAATTTAATGGTGGGTTTTTTCCCCCTCATTTATCGACAAAAAAAAAGAAGTGAATAAATGTCACTTGCAAACAATTAAAATCGAAAAAGTTCTAATAAAAGAATAAATTTTTTAAATACAGTGAAAAATAAAAAAAAAATTGCAATATTTTATAATAAAATTTTAACTCAGAGTGAGTAAACTTTTCCATCATTTTTATTGAACTTTCTTCTATATATATATGTGCGTGGGTCTTTTAATTTAAAAATTCATTTTCTAATTTGTTTTCGGTCAATTTTTCTTGTTTTCCCTTGGACAAGGCAAAAAAAAAAAAAGAGTTCTGTTTGATTTCTCTTTTCAGAGGAATAAGATTGACATCTCGTTCTTTTTTTTTTTCAAGATAATAATCATATATATGAAGACGTGTCTCTCGTACTCTGGTGAACTCGCACAGAGTTGCTTCGAGACACGTCGAATGTCCACTTTGAGCTGTAAATACGTTATCTGCTCGAACGAGTCTCGATACACTTGATTGGACTCGATCACTTCTACATCAAACCGCAGGTCCTTTTTCCCATCTAAACTCTATTCTTTTTTTTCCTCCTTTTTTTTTTTTTTAATAATGTCCTCATCTTTCAAAAAGAGATCAATGTTACCTCTGGTAGAGATATTATTGGAAAATTACCATTTGTTAAAATCAATTTAAAAAAGGCCAGAATAGATATTTTTCCATATTATATCGAGAATACAAATTGTCGGAAATGATTTTAAAGACAATAAAGATATATTGCATGAGAACAAAGAAAATTCAGAATCAATTTTAGTTCGGATGAATTCAGGAACAAAAAAAAAAAAACTCATTTTAGAAAAGAGTTTTTAGGGGGAGGAAAAAAAATTCTGACATTATTCAGCTTTCTGGAGTCACTTGGAGTCATTTTGGAAATTGAAGACTGAAGAGTGCAGATTAGAAGTCGAGAGAGACTTAAATGAAATAGCCGGGACGAAAAAAAATCTAGTTTTTTTTTTTTATCCTCTGTTAACGAGGCAGGATTATGGCGTCCTCCGAAGAGTTATATGCCCTTGATGACCCACATCCTACATTCTCTTCGAGAAGCATTTCTTTATAACACTCCAAGGACCATCATCATAAGTCGAGTAATTTCCTTCAAAGTCAATTCCTATATTTTTATATAAAAATTTATATTAAACTTTTTTTTTACCTATTCAATTTTGATATTTGGAAAAAAATTTCTATTTTAATTATTGAAAGAACTATTTTCAAATATGAAGAATTAACATGAGAAATATTATTGTCAATTTTGAAAATACATTAAAGAAAAAAAAAATTCAGGAAATTTTTGCATCAAAAATTTATTTAAGAGGAACAATTTTAAAACGGCGACAAGTTAATTTACGATCAACAGTGGAAAGCTCAATTTATATTTTCAAACTCGCTTTTCTAAATTTCAAGAATAAATATAGTAATACAAAAGACGCTTTTCAGAGCCCGCTTAGCAGGCTTTTAAATCTGCTAACCGGCATATAGTGCTTGCTGTACAAGGCAACAGATGTTCCAGCAACATTTTTCTCATACAACTTTTAACCTAAACACACATATAGGAAATTTTCTTTAAGTTTAACTTCTTCGTATATACAAAGAGAGAGAGAGAGAGATAGAGAAGATGAAAGAACGAAAAAAACAAATGAAGAATGAGAGAAGAGGAAGAAAAAAAAAGTTACAAACTCCAATGATATTGTTCACAACAGAAATAAAAACTTGGATTCTCTTTTATAATTTAGTACGGTTGCATATTATATCAAAAAATTAAGAAAAGAAAGTCAACGAATTTCTATATCTAAATTAAATCAGTTTTTCATTTTTCTTTTTTAAAAAAAAAAAATAATATCGACTCTGATTCAATTTCGTAATATCCAATTCTATATCTAGATATGATTCAATTATAAGAAAATTTTCTTCAATAAGATGATTTTTTTTTTTAGAAAGAAAAAAATTCGTTTTCAAAAAAAGAAATTAAAAAATTTGTATCTAATCGTGAGGGGAGAAATCTAAAAGTTCTGAACAAAATATTTTTTTCAATCTATAAATTATTAAAAATTATAATCTCAATGTAAAATAAAACAGTAAATTAAACAAATATTAAATTAATAACTTCTTTCTACATATTTAAAACAATATTTTTTAATAAAATTCGTACTTAAAGAGGTTTCAAAAAAAATTTTGTTCATTTGAACGTTCAAAATTTTTGGCTCATGGGGAGAGAATTTTGTATTATATATTGAAGAAAGAAAGAAAAGAAAAAAAAAAAAAAACGATCGTGATCACTTTCATTCTGTTTTGTCACTGTGAATGAAACGCGACGCGAATATGTCGTGTGTCGCGGTTGTTGGACTTGTTCGGACCGTTCTATTGTGTAAAAGTGTGTCACAGTGGCTCGTAATACTAAAAAGAGGAAGGGTGGAGTCAAGTGCACTCATAAATTCTCTATACTTTTATACGTATATGACAGATTGTGGCGATTGAAAAAGTTGCCGATCTTAAAAATTCTTACGTATACAAAACTTTCTCGATCTTAACCGTTTGAATCAACAAAATGCAATTCATGCAAAAAAATAAAAAATTTTTTTTTTTTTATATAATAATTTTTCATAAATTTTCTAGTTAAAATAATGCAATAATTAATAATACAATATTTTTCTCTCTAAATAAAATGCTGGATTTTTGTTTTGTTTAAAAAAATATTTATAAATTTTAAATTTATGGATTGTGCAGAAAATAATAATTTAATCCAGTATAAAAACTACGAGAGAGGTAAATATGTTTAAATTGAAAATTAAAAATCAGAATATAAATATATAAAAATTTTATAAATATATATATATTTTATAAATATATAAAAATATAAAAAAAAAATAAAAAAAATTTAACATTTGTAGAATAAAATGAATTAAAATCCAAATTGAAAAATTTCTATATATTTTTATAAAACTTGTGAGAATTATTATTCTTACATTAGACAACGGAAATGAAGACTAAATCCCATTTCGCAACTATTATAAAAACAAAAAACAAATTGCCGTAATAAAATAAAATTATTGTAGACAAATAAAATTAAATTGGCAATATAATCAAAGTGAAATGGGTAATTTAATGAGGAATAAAAACATAACATCTTTCTCTCTCGTCATTTATAAACAGTTTTATATCGGATATTATAGATCTACATTCCAAAGTGTATATCAAAACCCCCCCACACACGTGGTGAAACATTAGCAACAATGTAATCTCAAGTTAATCTTTGTTACATTCCACATCTTACTATATCGAAGAACTTGATTCTTTATATATATATGAAATGTTTCTGATTGGTTGTAAGTTGCGTTTCACTTTTCTTTGCACCATGGCTCTATA